TTTAATTACAGTCGTAGATCTTTTTTTAATAATATTATTATTCAATAACATATCTACTATTAATTCATTCTAATTCATGAGGGCAAAGATGCGACATAATACAATTATAATTTCTACAATTTGGTTAAAGTTCAATAAAAATAATGTACTACTTCTTTATTTATGATTAAAATTGAATGGTCGTTCGTTTGAAGTTCTATCTAAAATTGTTATTAACACATTATTTATTAATTGATTTGTCAACTGGGAAACAAAATGTTGCCAGTTATAATTTTATAATCATAATACGTATACTAGAGAAACCAAACTCATTTCTCTTTCAAATAAAAACAAAAAAATACACTATCGTTTTATGCTAAAATTTGTTCATGATTATGACGAATATTTTTTTCTGTTACCGTCATATTGTGTTCAGTTACAGTTAACCAAGTGTATGTGTTTGAGGTAGGTATTGGTGTACTGGACTGGTAGGTGGTTGGAATCTAATAATGGTACCGGTTAGGTGCTCAGCGGCCGCGCGGCCATGTCGGCGTGGGTCGTGTTCGTGACTCTGGGTTTTGCCAATGCAAACAATTATATGACAGTTCTTTACCTATTTGATTAACTAAGTATGCCATTTTGTTTGACATCATTTGGCTTTCTGTTCATGTTTTTTGTTTACAAATTTAAGTCAGGCCAATCCTATGAAACAAGTAACAAATGAAAGAGATTATTTAATCAGAATTTGTTTATGATTAGTTGTTCATTTAAATTGGCTCTATCGATAAGCAATCGTCCTTTCGGTCACCAACGTGCTTTTTTATTATTTTGATATGGAATAGGTAATGCTAGCGGTTTTTGAACAATATCTTATATTCATACATAAAATACTTCGAATCATCCGCGCAAATTTATAAAATGCGCGTGTAAATGTCATGTTATTTGAATTAATGACATTGTAAACCATCGCAGATTTGAAACCTTTGCTAAGTTCATTCAAATACATATAACTTCATGGTTCATCCAATGAACATCTATAAACAGCATTGGATGCCGAATGGTTATTTAATCGTTCGGTATTTGCAAAATGTTTTGAGCCATTCTTTCTTACATTGTGGTATTATGGTAAAGTGATAGTGGTTTAGTGTCGGTTATCAATTTGGTATTTCGCGGTGCGGGCTCGTTTGCGGTGTAATATAGGCAAGCAGATATACGAGTATGTTCGGAATGTATTTCGGCTTACTACCACCTTTACATGGTCACCCGCAGATAGGGTTGTCATTTGTAAAATCAATAATTTTGATAAAATATTGGATATCATGGATTTCTTATTTCAAAAGCAGGACAACTTATAGTCTATATTACCAATACAATAAAATTTTAAGAACCGGCTCTGAAATATTAACCGTTTACGATACTCCGTTTCGAAGCCTCCCGATGAAGACAAATCCGCGGAAAATTGGAACGGACAGCAACCCTATCTTTAGATAACTCGCTGCCCGTCGCAATGTAGTCCCAGACGAGGACGGATGATTGAATTATCAAATATATCATCTTTTTATTTTAAAAGTTTTTATTTCATTACATTTTGTGTTTATTTCATGCGTGAAACTTGATCAGCTTTATCATTGTATTTGATTCAATGTAATGATTAATTGCGTCCTTATATCCATAAAGTGGAAGTAAAAGAAACAAATGTATCATTTTGATAATTATTTGTATGAATTTCACAAGTAAATAAGTATAATATGTTATAAAGTTTTTTTTTCATTATTATTGAAATTTAAGTATATAATAATTTAATAAATCATTAAGTATCCCAGTAATCTGCTAAGCGGTGAAAGTTCTAGAGAAACACAAATACGTTTATATTATTATAATATTAGTACAAATTCACACACATGACCATATTTTAAAATTATACAGGAAAGCGAAAGACAAGTAAACTGTTTACTGTTTACAGTCCAATACACAGTTATATATTTTCAAATCAATCTTGAAAATGACTTGCTACGTGTGAGTGAAAGTTGTTTACATTTAAATTTAAACATTGGTGACTAACAGTATTTCGATGAAGTAATATTAACAAACAATGAATAATAACACATTCTCTTAATTTAAATTTCGCCTGGTTTAGTATGTGTTCATTATAAATTTTGTAATGTGAAAGTGAATATTATTGGTATCGTGTCTTTTATATCTGTTACTGTAAAATAAAAAATAAAACTATTAAACAACTTCAAATAAATAAATAAATTGGCATAGATAGTTAGAAACTAAAATACGTGAGAAATCAAAAACAAAGTCGGGAGTAATATTTTAACGATAGTGTTGTCTGTCGAGTCCCTTGTAGGCAGATAATATTTAGAATACAACGATAAAATAATAAGATTTAAAATAGCTTGTAAACAGTGTAAGTGTATTTATATATATTTGTCCGTTTAGTTATTATATAAGTATTAATAATGATCACTGTGGCGTAAAATAGTAAGTGTGTATATACGCTATGTAAAGGAGTTCGTCGCGTGTACCTGAGACGATAGGAAACTAACTTTACTGAATTTTTTTTTTAATTATATTTTATTTGCTGCACATAACAGAAGTTTACAAATACAAACTTAAAACAACTTGCAAGTACATGTATTGTTCAGGTAAATTTCCCATTTCATGTGTACACAGCATCCAATAATAAATACGACTGTAACAAAACCATTTCAATAATTTGTGATAAAAATTAAAACATAAAAAAAGATAAATAAAAAACAAAAGTTAAAAGAATTGTTCATTTTCCGCTTTCTAATAACATCGGGAAATCGCTATTAGCCTAAGAATCAGGTATTGCACTAATTAAGAGTTAGTTATTACCTGATGTTAAATTTATCCAAGAAATATTTCCTAGGGTTTGTATGACGGGGTATTTACAAGCTGTGTTTTTGCAATATGCAAACGGACTCCGTTCATGCTGCAAGCCTACATAGAAAATGGTGACTATCATCAAACTGATATGTTTACCCAAATTGTAGTATGTAAATATAAACAACTATTGTGGTAAATTATGTTTTCTCTAATATAAAATGTAATGTCCTGATTAAACTGACACTGATAACAAATATTTGAAATGTTCCACATAGATGCTTTTCTTATTTTGTTATCACCGCATCCTGCGAAGTCTAATTCTCTTGAGAACTGGAGAAATGGGGTTTCGTGTGGATGAAATCGTAGAATATCGATTTTGTATAGGGAGCTTAGGACCATTGCTTATGACAGTCGATGGTGGAGGCCTATGATCAACAGTGAATAGATAATGGTTGATATGATGATGATAGTTGCGACCATTTTTTTTCACGTATTCTTATAAGACTAGACTTTTCCGCATCGTCATTTGTATGCTTCCTAATGCAATGTTTTTGCTAATAAAAAATTAAAGTTGAAGACAACAAACCTTTTTAAATTATCAAATGCAAGAATACATTGCATAAGTAAGTATTCAAGTGACGATGTGGGAAAGTAAAGACCTCGGTTCGGAGGTACGCACGAGCCCGGCGGTGACGGGCGCTGCCCTTGAACGAGCTGGTTCTGCGCCATGACCAGAATTGCATGCCGACTGCCGCTGTCGCCGTTGCCTAACAAAGAACAATTTTGATATCTTTATAATAAGGCCTATATGAAAACAGATAGTGATATGTTAGCATCGATAACGGCCAAATCAATAAGCAAATTCCAAATGAAAGCTTTGTTGTGTAATCGAGTAAATCGCATGCTTCGTCACGTCGCTTTGTTATGTTTAGAATCTCGTTATTGTTCAATGAAAACCCGCCGCATAATTTATGACTGGGTAATAAAGGTTATGTAATTCTAAACAATCGGCTCACTAGGAATGCGGTCAAGTGTAGATGTATCACATATCTATTTATCAACATTTGGCGTGCTATTTTTACGAGCGGTGGTTGGTTGCCGGCCGGCGGGACGACCCCATTACCGTGGCACTATACTCATTAAAGGTCGCCGTAAACAAATAGATGTGTATAGGTGGGCGCGTATGGTATATGCTCTGTTATCTATGATTCACCGGCGCCCCGCTGTCTGTCGACTGTCTGATCGCACTGACACAATATAATGGCCCGATAATGGGCAACTGATGAGATTAAAGCGGCGACCCACCCACTTAACAATTTTTATTTATTTACGTTTTTGGGGCATTAAAATTTTACGCTCATCGAATTTGTCTCCAACATGACGATATAAATTTTAACTGCTGACGGCAGTACCTTTATAACAAGCCGCGTTAGATAACATGAGTAATAGGGTCTTGATCTGGCGTAACTATAACCGAGCCCAAATCGACCCACATAAAAGTTGCAATACCACTTTCGACGTCGCAAATCACAGACAGCTATATCTCGGCCTCGGTCAATGCGTTGCGTGCATGTCGTATGCACATATACGGATGCAATAAAGTGCAGCGAGAATTCGCAGGCTAGCGGTGCATGCCGCTCACGTGCCTGTAGAAAACGAGAGTGATCGGGTGCGTCTCTCCTCCCCCCATGCTCACGATTGATGAAAGCCTAAGGTTATTTGTTCTACATTCTATGTACTAGGAACGAACTTTCGTTCATAGCTTTTTCTTTGAAAAAAAAAATAAATTGCGGAAAATTCTGTATTTACACAAATTCAGTGAACACAGATACTGGGGGCTCTATTTATATATCGCTGTTAAATTGACTATTCATCTATTCAAGATAATAATGAAAATGGAGGTTTCCACGACTAGTCTTGATCACATTAGTTTAGTAGGCTTAAATAAAGATGTGTTTCAATGTTGATCCCCCAACGATTTTTTTTTCTGTATAAACAAAGCTGTCTTAGATACTTTCATATAAGTAATAAACGATGGGGGAAAAAGGTCTGGAATAAGCAATACGATACGTCTGTCCACATTCTAGATTAAAACGAAAGACTATCCTTTATTAATTGATCTTGGGTTATCGTTAGTATTAAATATTGTTGTTATTGTTTTACAGGCACACAGAACGTAACGATGCCGCCGCGAACATCGTCATCGCTGTCGGACGGCAGCGGAGGCGCACCGCGGGGCGCAGCGCCAGGTCCGGGGCCCGCCGCCGGGCCGGTGCCGCCCGGTGCCAGCGCCATGGTGGCGCAGCCCTATGGTCACCACACGCCTTACAAAGCGTCTCCATACGCGCCGCAGTCGTATGGATACCCACCAAGGAACCACCACCCATATCCATACGCTGGTTACCGCCCACCGCCGCCACATCCACCACAGCATTATCCGCCACTCAAGGTACTTTTAATTGTTCTAATCAGGAATTAATGTAATATTTGTAGATTTCTAAGTAATTAAAAGTGACTCTTTGAGGAGTACACGTTAATAAAGCTAGTTTCATCTCTTAGTAAATTATTTGAACCTGAGTTATTGTTACCCTGTTATTTGTCTATATAATGTTCACCTATTGTAATCATTCCAGCAACAGGGCCGGCACATGGGCCCCCCAGGTGCAGGTATCAGCGGCGGTGATGGTGTGATGCCGCCACCGACCGCCCCGGGCGAATCGCACGACAATGGACCCGCGGCACCAGCTACGGCACTCGTCACCACTGGCCCAGATGGAGCGCCTCTCGATGAAGGCAGCCAACAAAGTACGCTGAGCAACGCCTCCGCTGGTGAGAATGATACACAGTTATACATTCTATCAGACGTTGATTGGAGACAGACGATGAAGTATTGTATGTCATCTTCCATTGAACCAACTTTTAGGCAGGTTAAAAAAAAGCCTTTTTTGATCTTACTTCAACAAAAATATTGTGTTTCTGTTCGAGTTAAAAATACAGCATGTGTAAATAAACAAAATATCAAGATTTAAGGAACTGTCGAGGGATTTCCTCGTAGTTTTATTTCGTTTATAAAGTATTTTCCGTAACATGTAGTGATTTCGCCAATTCCAGCGTCGGGCGAGGAGGCGTGCGGCACTGCGAAGGCGGCACGCAAGGAGTACGGTGCGGGCAGTGCGGCTCCCTCGCCGTCGCCGGGCGGCGGCTCGCATTCTTCTGTACACGATGACTACGACGCTTCGCCCTCGTGGCCGCGCCCGCCACCCAGTCCCGTGAGTCCATCCACACCATTTGGACATACAGTTGTAATAATAAGTATAGGCTGCCGACATACACGCTTTATTCACACATTGACGAATTGTGAGCTATTCAAGTTGTGAATTATTACGAAACGTAAGTTATTACGACTCATGGGTTACTGCGGCTCGAGTCGTGAATTATTACGAATCGTGAATTATTACGAGTCGTGAATTATTACGAATCGTGAATTATTACGAGTCGTGAATTATTACGAGTCGTGAATTATTACGAATCGTGATTTATTACGAATCGTGAATTATTACGAGTCGTGAATTATTACGAATTATTACGAGTCGTGAATTATTACGAATCGTGAATTATTACGAATCGTGAATAATATTAATTCAGGATCACGCTCACAAAACGTCAAAAATGCATTATACCCAAATTAAGATTTGGTTTATGTGAATGTCTATTCGTCTATGCTAAACATTTTTATAGACGAATCGTCAATCACACAATAAATATATATTGGGCCGTTACTCTATACCTTGTTTATGTATCCTAAAGCAATTTGCTATAGATTATATATAAGTTGTTACATAGATATTTCAATATCAGTATATCTCAAGTGCTTTATGATGAATACACAAGATATTGAGTCACACACAAGTTTTCACAATATATTTATAATTTTCAATATTTCGCGTGTACACTGAACCACTTGATATATTAATTGGCATATCCCTCTAACGTGTTAACGCTTTCTTAAGGCTTCGAAAAGGTCGTTACCAACCCCCAGTAACTAACTTTACTACAAGTTCCTATATTTTTTTTATATAATTATGTATACTATTTATTGATTTTTTTTTCAAAAGATTACAATAGTAAATTTATAATAGATACAAACAATTATAGTAACACTTTATAACAACAACATATTTCGATCACCCTTAATGTGTTGTTATATATACAGAAAAATATTTATTACTACATTTGGAGAAAGTTATAATATACAATATAGTATAAATAATATGTCGTTTTTAATAATTTGCAATTCTTTAAATTATCTCCAAAATACACATAGTTTTCAAAAGTTTCCGTTTCTATAAAAGTCTATACGGGATTATGAAATCTTATTTTCTAAATAAAACTCATGTATAATAGAGGGCTCAGAAATCATGTTTGTAGATAATCAAAATCCAACTAATATCAATATTAATTTGTGGTGTATTAAACGATTATTTTATAATATAATCTTTCATCTATTATAATCACAACTCACATTGAATATAGTGATGGAGTTAGTTATCTGGATCGATCCGTCGGGTCACGGTCGGTCGTAGACAGCGGGGGTCATCGCTTATTGTTCGTAACATTAATGTGCTAAACAAAGCTTATTTGTTAATGTATTAGTTTAATGTATAAACTGTTTGGTTCTGCTCTATTCACAACACATTGTACATGACCTCAACATTTAGTATTTTATTGTGTCCATTATTTTTTTATATCCGTTACATAATATTATATGTTGGACTAGAAAGTATAATACTTGTACACATTAATCGCCAGTATTCCGGACCGTACCAAACTGGCCACTGACCGATATGATTTTACTTCTAGTAATATTGACGATGTAATGGGATATCACTCTACAGGGTTTAAGACCTGACAATATTTGCGATATACTTTAAAATACAAAATGTTGAGTATTTCATTTGTTCAACACACATTTGTAATTGTCCTGTGGTAATAACGGTTTTCGTCGTTTACACATTGTATATATGTGTTTACCTATGCAAGTGTGAGAGGGAAGCATTGCAATTTATCATGTATTTCAGGTATTTAACAGTCACATACCGCCGGAGTCCTACAGATCAAAGGTTTATATCAAGTTCAAAATCATTAAGCATGTGTAGCGCTCAATTCGATTAATTTTCACATATAACTTTTTATAATGCATGGATGTCATCTTCCTTCTGCGTTCAATGACATTTGTTTTAATTGTCGATGCATATTGTAGTTTGTATATCAGACTATTGCCCATACGAAATATCTCGTTTTTACTATGAACCAATGAGTGCTTGGAAAGTATTACGCTTTCTGCTATATTTTTTTTCTTTCTGGTGTTGGCCTTTGCTTTGAGTTTATTTAGAAAACAGATTTTATATTATTATAATGATACGTTTCATTCGCGTAATTTGATTTTTAGTAGAATTTTATAGTATTGACTGTTTGTTTTTAGTTTGCCAAGTTGTAAAGAAAACTAGATACATTTTTATTAGAAACTTCTCACATACATGTCACTATTTAGAATAACTTAGACATAATTATAATAGGGCCATCGATTCTGAAGCATTATTCTCTTATCTATAATTTCCTTCCGATATTTCTGCAAAATTATTAATCTAAGGACCAGTATGAACTAAATTTGAATTGATTCAGAACTTGTTACATTCCATTTAATTATTAATTGGGTAGAACATAATAGTTTATGTAAAGGATAAGTTTAGAGAATGCGCTTCGGAGTGTATCGTAGTAAAAGTCAGTTCTAATTAAAGTAACAATCCATTGTAGTACTTGGTATAGTAAAATGACATAGTAATAACTAATATTTATTTCCTACCTACCTGTTATAAAGAAAAGTACTGGCAATTTTATGCTGAAGTAAACTTTAGTAAGTATTAGAAAGAATAAGTGAAAAAAGACTTTTAGTCTTAACAAAAAATTATTGCTGTGTATAGTTTGTTTATATTTATTGTTGTATTGTATATTGATTATTGAATCATTAATTTTAAATAATGTACCATTATTGTGTCAAAATTATCAGTGATTTATATTAATAATGGCATTGTTACCAGTATTCTTTCTTTATGCATATATATCAATGAAGGAAAATGACTCTTTGGTTTATCTTATATATAAAATCAACATGTGCTTGATTTACCATGTTTGAACACAATTATTCGCCTGCGTGACATATGTACTTATGGTTATTGTATATATTTTATTGCTATTGCTGGAAAGTGTAAAAAGCATGCTATCATAATGTTTGTTTCTGTGTCGCATATATTTGACTGTATCTAAAGTGTTTAATCCGATAGAGCACCATTTAGTTTGTAATGTTTTCAGTTTTTCTTTCTGTATTAATACTTTATAATTGCACGTCAGGTCTTTAGTGAAGGTAAAGAGAAGCAGGAACCCACTGTCCATACATCCATTTTTGCTTTGTCCACTTTAGTACTGTAATAATAATTATCGTAATTAAACAATTGAAATGATAATGAAATTAATCATTTGTTATAGTTAATTTTCGCTTTGTTGACACATATTTTATATACACTATCGAGACTGAACGCGACGCGATTGCAATTAAATAGTAATGCATCGTCTGCATTAAAATTCAGAAGCTCTACCATAAAATGAAATTCGGATTTTTCAGGCTCAATTTTTGTGTTTCGTAATGAAATCGGCCTAGTAAATGGCGCTTAACATTTCGTTCGTCATAAATCCTACATTAATAGTCCAAAAGAATGATTATGTAATTGTCATATTGATCAATATGAATATGTATTATGTAATTTTAACATTAAACTTGTGCATCATTCGGCACTGAAAATTCGGAAAAATATTTCATGGTAGGCCCTCTGGTATGTAGGTACTATTTACCTACAATCGCATCGCGTTAAGTTCCGATAGTATATTTAAAATAATCATATGTCACTTGTTAAATTATATAATTGCAAAAATTTGTTGTATTAATAATAAAATTTAACGCGTAAGTATACACAGATTGCATTAATTGTAGTAGCCGTACGCTATGCCTGAGATATATAATTTTAGATACTAATTTCTAATGTTGTACCTCATAACGACATTACAATTCATAGTATATTGTTCTAATTTTTGGTGTCGATCCAGTATTGTACTTGTGTTAGGGTAATGGACATTAATGACCTGCTACATAACTAATTGAAACCTATCTTAACTCCTCGTACTTTACCGTTTTACTAAGTACCTATATAATAAAATTTTGTAAATAATTAACGAAAAGTCACTATTTGCCCATTTCTATTTTCTTTGAATTAATTGAAATCTTATAAACTAAATAATCCGTACACACAAGGTATTTGAGTCCCAAATGGTGCTTCTATTCTTCACATTACCCGAGATCTGTTATTAAAGTATTGACGAAACTAGCCGGCACGGTACGATGGCGTTTTTGACGTTTATATATATTTACGAATGTTCACATTGCCACTAGTTGCAGTTCTTTATCAGTGGGCAAACGTCAAAAACGTTAACGAGTACATTGCTATATTGCTCTAGCTTGAGGCGTAAAACATTTTGCTACGCATCGTAATAAAAAAAAAACCCACACGTTCTTTACGTACAAAATGCTAACAATAATGTGGATCACACTGCGTGGTAGCAATATGTTATTCGCCAAAGACGTTTCATGTACAATGCGGATGTATGATGAAGTGTGTCTGCGCCAGAAGTCGGACTCGCTGGGCAAGCTGTACGAGATGGATGACGCGCCGGAGCGGCGTGGCTGGGTGGAACGACTGCTCGCCTTCATGGAGGAAAAGAGGACGCCCATAGCATCCTGCCCGACGATTTCGAAACAGCCGCTGGATCTGTACAGACTGTACCTGTTGGTACGCGAACGAGGCGGATTTGTCGAGGTACGTACATATATTATCAAACAATTTATAATATAGAAGTGATCGTTTTACAGCGTACTCATGACCGAGTCGTATCATTTTCAAAGTAGAAAGTGACTTCTCGCTGAGTCTTGCTATTTTAAACATACTCTTCCAACGTTGTGGAATCTACCATATATTGTATAATGAACGCAATTATTATATGATTACCCTACTAAAAGATCAGTACTTTTCTAAAATGAATATGGGCATAATTAGTAAGGGACGAGAGTTTTTTTCAGTTGAAAAATATAATGAAAAAAAAGTCTTGCAATTGCGTAGACATTCACGTAGTATACAGAAAAAAAGAATACCGGTCGAAATAAAAACCTATTTTTTTTGTCAAAATCATTTTAAAATAAATAAACTTCTAGTTAAGCTCCATTATTTTTTAATGTATTTTTTTTTTTATTCTGTCGCCGGATTTGCAGTTATCTCCCAAGAACTCGCAACTCGCAAGAAACTCTACTATTGCTCTTATTTAAATCTGTATATTTTAAAATAATACAATATATACTTTATGTTTATTCTAAAAGCATTTTAATCATCGGTAAATGTTTCTCAATAACATTTTAAAATTATTGAAACATGGCTACAAGAATAGTCTATCAAAATATTTATATATTAATATTGATTTAATATTTCCGAAGAAATCTCACAAGTTGACAAATTTAATAAATCTAAAAAAGGACCACTTAAATTTGAAGATTTACACCGCACTTATAATAAGCATATATAATTTGATCCTAAAAAATTAACTGTGTACTTAATACAATGTGGCAATGATTAAAAATTGGATATTACCAGGAATAAATTTACACTTACCAGTAATAGTGTTAGCTGTTTTACCTTTCAAAATTACATTATTCAACAAACTTCTTGGGTATATTATGAAGTGCACAAAACATATAAAACTCATTGCAATCCGTAAAGATACATAAAGGATGCCGGATATTATGCAAACTGTTTTCTGCACGTTTATGTTGTGTTTATCATATGCTAGTAGGTTTGATATTCCTGTCGTCTCTGGCGAGACCAACGCAAAACAGGTCCGACCCTATTTTATCTCGAGATTATTCCCATTATACTATAAATGTAAATCTCAAGCATTTATACTACAAATTGGATTTTATATTGTTGAGTGTACTAAAAGTCTACATTTAAATAAATGTACAAACGATCAACGGTGTATGTAATTCAATTTAGCTTTACAGTTTAAAATGCAAACATTCGTATAGCTGAGTATCACTTTAGTGATTCTAGTAAACTCGTGCGCAGTGTTCTATTCGAGTGAGACTAATAGACTTCGTTTAGGATTTATGTTAGTGCATGTACCGCGGGCTTTATGTGTATAGTCGCCATAAAACCGCTGGGGCTTTAACGATAGTTAATAAATTTTTATCATTGGAGCGTTCGCAAAGGACGGTCTCGAACATTGTTGTGTGGATTAGAGAGGCGCGGGGCGAGCTCGGTGCCGGACGCGTTTCACTCTTCTCAGAAAAATTATTCGAAAATTCACAGCGGCGGCATGGTGAGGTTTCCACTCGTAATATGTAAGAGTTATCGCGTTTTCAAACGTACACAGTAAACCTTGGCAGTTTATGTCCTCGCGTTAACTGTCGCCGCGTGTTCTCTTGTTTGCTAAAACCTGTGTTAAATATCGTATTGTATTCATCGTTCTCTCACTTGTCAAAACAATATGTTATGTTTATAAATACATATACAATTTCACATAACTTACATTTTGATTTGTTGACTAATTGACATAAACTACTTTTTCCCATAGAGATAAGATAATAAAATATAAGAAAGCGGCTCATACTTAACGTTTATTGTGATTGTTTTTAGGTGACGAAAAATAAGACATGGAAAGACATAGCTGGTCTGCTGGGTATAGGCGCGTCTTCGTCGGCGGCGTACACGCTACGCAAACATTACACGAAGAATCTACTCGCATACGAGTGCCATTTCGACCGCGGTGGCATTGATCCCCAGCCAATTATACACCAAGTTGAAGCTTCTACTAAGAAGAAAAGCGGCAAATCCAATAGTAATTCCAGTGCAGGTTAGTGCGGTCTATGTAGTATTTCTGAGCTAAATGTAATTAAACTCATTGTAATTTAATTATTTTGGAGCCTGCATTAATTAATTGCAAACTGTATTGGGTTGGCTGGATGAGATATTTTTTTTAAGATAAGCCTACCCTTGATAACAAGTTGTTAAACTAATCGCTGTATCTTTGGCGCTGGCGATTAAGGTTGCACATGTGACGGAAGCTTAAAAATGGAGTAACTTCTCCCGTTTTCCCAACATTTCCCTTCACTGTTCTACTCCTATTGATCGTAGCATGATGAAAAGTATACTATAACCTGCCCAGGAGTATGAAGAATAATTGTACCAAGTTTCGTTAAAATCCGTCGAGTAGTTTTTGTTTCTATAACGAACATACAGACAGATAGACAAAAATCTTACTGATTGCATTTTTGACGTCAGTATCGATCACTAATCACCCCCTGATAGTTATTTTGTAAATATATTCCATGTATAGAATTGACCTCTCTACAGATTTATTATAAGTATAGAAAATATAGATATATATATGTAAAATATATAATTTTAGTTTGAAATGGATACACATCAAATGCTCAATTTACTATATATTCACAGAAAGTAGGTAGAAAGATCTTGTCTACGTGTAGAAAGCTTTTTAATTTCAGTAGTTCAATGTTTGAAAGTCGAATATTAAACCTTTTTTTGTTTGATACCATAGAACTAAAGGAGATTTAATCATGACAAAAGTTTTACTAATATTTTTACACAAGTAAATCTATTTATTCATAAAGACTTGTAATTTAAGTAGTGACAAAAAACAAAGTTTTAGACGAATTTAGTGATGATGAAATTTTAATATATGAGAGAATTAATGCCTTAGATATTCTACAAAATCCAGGGGATACCATGGGACGTAATAACTATTTTTCGATTTCGAGTTCGTGTGTGTGTGAAGAAACATTTTTTTTTTACTAAAATAGACTTGCTTATAAACAAAAGTGACGTTTCTATTGTGAAGTGATTTTCATTGTGAAATGGCAAAAAATATATTGATTTGTTAAACATTTTTCTTTTTTATTTTACAATTAAATTAATGTTTTATTCTACTCTGATATTTATGACATTAAGATAGACAGTAAGATAAGTAAGTTGATTCAAATTTGTATTAATTGTACCTGTGTGCGATGCAGGGTCATCAAATTCGCAAGAATCATTCCCGGGCGGCGTAGGCGGTGCCGGCGGCGTTGGCGGCGCGGGCGGCGGCGCGCCTCTCGACGGCTACGGTGCGCAGTATGCCGGCTACCCGCCGCAGTCCAACCAGGCGCAGGGTAGGTATCCACTATGCACTCGGCATCACGCATAAAACAATGAACATGGAGCAGCAACTCTTAGTTCACTTCTTATTTGTTTTATTAAATCTTTTTAATGTAATAAAATATCTAGCAACTGCAATCCCTAATAGAGTAGTTAGAGCTATTTGTCGACTGGTGACCATTGTGAATACTCGTCGTGCCTTAAATATCTTACAATTTAAAAAATAAGGTACTGCTCGTTTTACAAGTGTCATATTCTTATATACTTGTTTATGACAAATGAAGCCCATAAAATTCAGTTAAAATAGTTTCTATAAGTATTCATAATAGTTGTTTTGAAATTATATGAAAATGATATAATTATTACCACAAAATTCGATCTTATATAGTATCTGCACATTGCAGATAGCATAGATATATTAATTAAATATAAGCTGTAAATAAGCTAATGATGTTTCAGCTGAATACTGAATAGGAGTCTTGAATTAATATCCATAAATAGAATTTTGTATTTTTGATAGGTTTTTGATATATGCATTTACTTCATATATTTTATAAAAATATATAAAAAAAAATACATATTTCTTGTATGCAACATTAAATTTAAAAAATAAATTACTATGTAATCCTAACTCTTAAATAGTCCACTACATTAATAATTATAGATATTCAAGTCTCCTGTACAGTGATAGTGATATTAGATAATAGATAAACCAAACCTTGCCTGCGATATGAAAGCGTTGCGAAGCGTAGAAAGTTTGCAACAAACTGACGTTGGCGCTACCAATGAATAAATTGCTCTACCTTTTTTTAATGAATCAATTTGGAAACGGTCCTGCTTTGCATATCATAGGCAGTCCTTGTCTATTCAGTTTTAGTCGGCTTATTCTCTATATTTTTGCAATTGGAACTAATTATCTAATTCCCGAATGAAACTGCTAACAAACCGTTCGGATCATCATACTGTGCTTCTCACTTACTAACAATCATCGTTTTGAACTGCAGGCACTGAATTTTATTTACAACCAATTTCAAAGTTTAAATTTAAATTGTACTATACAGCTATTATTTTTCCATATTTTTTCTTAATTATAAATATAGCAACAATCTTAAATTATAAAACAATATTTCAAACAGCTGCATTTGTTTGAAATTAATTAAACATACTACATGGAATATGTGTATGAAGTTTGGAAATTGGGTGTTAAATATATAAAAATGTGTACATACAAAATGAACACCGACTAGAATCCGAGTAGTGGTCGAGACCGGTTGGTATAAAGTCGTGTGGTTGTAGGCGGTGGGCCGGGTGGTGACAACCTCGCCGCCTCTAACCCATTCGACGAGCCGCCGGGGCCCAGGAGACCCCCAGGTACCTTAACCTTTCACAAATCATCCAAAACCATATTGGCTTGAGATTCGTTCATGGATATGGGGTGAAGAAATCTACTCTTATCGAATATAAAAATAAATCACACTGAAATTCAACCAATTAACGGTATCTGAAACTAAATGCACCCGTGTATAAATTAGAACTGAAATTACGTAAAATTGGAATTTATTTTAAAAGTATTTGTAATTAATATATATAGCAAATCATCTCTACAAATATCAAAGTCAGTTTTACTCTCAAAAGTCAAAGTTAAAAAGTGGCATGAATTCAATTCATTACATAAATTCAGTCAAAATATATTCTACATCCTAAAGTACGTCGTTAGTTTTAAATACCAATAATGACTTAAATTTCACCCTGTGGTTTCACATCGTTCATCGTTCGATATTCAAATATACGAATAAAAGGAATCTTCGACCGGATTGTCAGTGATTTTGTAAATCTAGTAGCGGAATCGTACACATTTTTATTATTCAGTCTAAACACTGCCTCACGAATCTCTAGTCAAAAAGTTTGGCGTTGATTTTATTTGTGATCGCATTTCTTAGATAGCATGAGTTAAATTTAAGTTGTATATTATAATTTGTCGCTTGTTTCTGTTTATATAATTGTTCGCACTTAGTTATATTCGGCTTGAATCAATAAGACACTGCATGTGTAAATAATTCCATTTAACATCACATTTCATTATTCGCTGATTGTAGATTGTATCCTTATTATGTGTTTAATATTATTATTAATTATATTATTAATACGTGTATATTGTATTACAGGTTACCAGCAAGGTTACGGGTATGAATATGGACCTCCTTACCAACCAAATCGGCCTGTTTATCCACCTTATGGACCCGACGGTGATAGGTAAGGATATTTTTAAATGTTACGATATTGTTTAGTATCTTTACTGTTTTCGCTATCTCAGCTGTACTTCGCCGTATTCTGATCTTTTTTAAGATATTGGATTAAATAAGGTTGAAATTATAAATCTTGCAAAATAATATAGAGCAATAATACTATGTTAGTCGGTGGATGTAGGTGGCTCAGGATCGTTTATTGGGGAGGCCTATGTTCAGCAGTGGACAGATAATGGCTGAGATGATGATGAGTAGGGCTACGTAGGTAAAATATTTTCTTTCGCAAACTAAAACATTCCCAAGCTTTGCATTGCTTTAAGACATATGTCTTTAGAGAAATGTTAATAAACTGATTTTAAAATAAAACATCTGTATGAGTTTCTTGCCAGTTCTTCTCTGCAGGGTCTTTTTTTATGCTACTTTGGTAATACTGACGGTTTATCTGATAGATTATTAAATACCTGATAGGTATAAAAAATACCAATATTTATGACGCGCATGGTACCTTTACGTGTTGTTATTTTTAAGGGCTAATGTGTTGTTTTTGTACTCTGTCATTACGTTAGCTTTAATTGTACAATGGGGTAAAAAAATATATGTATATTCACAGATAACTTTATCAATCTGGCTCGAGGGATCAAAATTTGATTATTGTCTTATTGGTACTATTATTTGCGAGCAGGGGTTACCGGGGCGGCGGCGAGTACCAGTACGGCGGGTACGGCGGCGGGTACCGTGCGGGCCCGGGTGCGGGGCCGGGCGCGGGCGCGGGCCCGGCGCCGGCGGGCACGCCGCCGCCCGCGCAGCCCTACCCCGACTACTACCGCGGCCCGCACCCGCACGCGCCGCACGCGCAGCACCCGCCGCACCCGCCGCACGCGCAGCATCCGCAGCACCCGCAGCACCCGCAACACCCGCAGCACCCGCCGCATCCGCCGCACCCGCCCATCTCGCCGCACCAGCAGCACCAGCCCCACCAGCCGCACCAGCCGCATCAGCCACACCAGCCGCCGCACGAGGTACCCGCATCGTTCTTTCTACTCTACCTCTAAATCTATCTCGCGCTTGTCTCGCTCATAGATGACTAGAACGTTTTCAGATTCAAATTTAGAACGCGGAATCCAATATTGATATTGATTTAAAAAAATATATTTCAAATCGTTTTTAGAACGTGTTATTAATTGACATTTATGATATTACTAGTTACTGAATTGTGCTGAAAATGTTCTAAATTTAAAATACTGTGTGCACGAAAAAAGAATATTGATAATTCATAATTTGAGTTATTTCTTTGGTAAAATAAAAAAATATAGCTAGTAGATTTTTCTCGGCCGATTATTTTAGTTTTGAATTTGTGAGGATTCTGTTGAAAATAGCTATATAGAAATAGGACCAAAATGAAATAATACAAAAATGTTATTATTAATCTATAATACTATATGGAATGACTACAGTAGTAGCCTGGATAGCGCCGAGTCATGCATGACTAGCATGTATGGATTATTTAATTTACTATTTATTGTGTATGTCAAACTGCTTACAGTCAGTCGCACTGTACTTATAATTCGAAGGTCTAATTTCTTCTAGGGATTGAATTATGTTCATTGTATTCTAGTGCTTTATTACAGTTATAATAGGGATTAAAATGTCATGATTGTGTAGTTAGCTGTCCTTACAGGACTGTATTAAATTGAATGAAAATCTCTTTGCTAGTTCCCACTATGCGAATGGCTTTCAAACAAATAATACTTATTATGATGCATGGTTGTAATCAGTTTATATACCTATTATTAAATGATATAGATACTCTAGCCATTTTACCATGACATTTAAGTCTCAAAAGTGAACTTTTTTCTGCAGTTACTCTAATCGAACTGCAATGAAAAGTCGGTGTGATATGTATCAAGTGAAGTAGATGAGGGTCAGTAGTAGCGCGTACAGTACAGTGTGCGTAGCTGTGTGCAGTGTGGTGTGACGATCTGTTTGGTGGTGTGTAGATGTCGGGCGGCGCGCAGGCGCAGTCGGTCGGTAACCTAATGAGCTCGCAGCTCGCGCGGCAACTCATCGCGCCGCTGCCATCCAACCCCAGACCCTACGTACGGACGCCCCGTTTGTACCACGCACTCAACACCGCTTCCCCATCGATTGGCGATACGGTCCATACTCACCCCGCACGGACTACGACACGTTAGCGGCCCCTGCCTCGATTGCCGTACCGCTCGCACGAGTCAACAGGACACGTTCCAGCGGAACATTGAGCTCATCTTATTGTTACGATTTATAAGTCCTCTATTTCATATTTTATTTCAAACTAGCAATAAACGTTTCAATAAACAGAAGGTAGTATAGACAAGAACGGCATCCCAAAAAGATGATTTTCTTTTTTGGGCCCAATCATTGTATCCTATCCCAAAAATTGAGAAAAATATAAGGATTTTCGGAAAAAATTAAGCAACATTTAAAATAAGAGAGTCCAGTCAATAAAATTGCGTAAATTACTTATTTCCAAACAAAAACAATGCAATAAAAAATGTGACAGATGTGTTTGACATCTATTTAGCAAGCTTCATTCGTCGTGTGTACAATGTCATTGAAAATGACATTGATGTCCCATGATATTTTACATTATGTTTCAAATATGGAATTCGAGATTAATTTTGTACCAGAAAACAAAGCCAAATAAAAGAAGGTGCGTTAAATTACATAACGCTTGCGTATTTTACCTTTTGATAGTGTGCAATGACTGGGTTTAAGTTTCACACATTACTGAAACGTAACGTGAATTTGAAATTTATATTTCTTATTTTAACCATGCGTATTAAGTTGCCGATATTAAATTGCAAACGTAACATTTACAAAAATGTTAGCTGTACTGCAGAGATAAGAAAGAACGAGACGCTAGATGTGTTTTCTTCCTTTTAGTACAATTAATTAGAAATACATTTATCATTCGCATAAAGAATTTTTTTACAAAAGGTTTAGTTTGCTACTCCCCTCGTAATGGGAGACAGATGACACAACTAATGTAGTTTGCTCAGATTACACACGGAGTATACTAGTTGAGTACTTATTTTAAAGTACCTAACAAAATTTTTATCTTATTATTCAGGGATAAACTTATTTTGGCTTCGTGTTACTGTTAAAACGACTCTTATAAATTTGTGTATAATGTACACTCACGACAATCGATGCAAGGGGCCCAATATCATTCGTGGTTTTGGCTTCATTTAATTATATTTTCGATAATACCACTCGCTTAAACAAAATTTTGAGCTGTCACTGTTAATTTTTCTTCTGTTTTTTCGTTTAACTAAATTATTGGCTTGCGGTGTGATTAATTAATTGGCTTCACGGTGTCGCGTCGCCGGTCGTGAGACACGGCGGTCGCTGAGTGATCAAACCCGATTATCGTTCGTTGGCTGATTCAAAATTTAACAAATAATCAAAACATGGAAGTAAAGGTATAGAGTGTGTGGTGGTGGCTTTATTGAGGTGGAGTTAGACTGAACAATGAGCTCGAATGTTGAAACAGGTAGGTTTACACCAAAAGAACAAGGTACAGAATTGTTAGTAAATGCAAACGAGCAAAGGAAGGATGCTCATAAGACATTTACACTGGACTAAAGATTGAAGAGTATGCGAGGATGAATTATTAGCTCGCTTGGTCTCACTCCACCTTTATATGAACATTTACGGTCACTCAAAATCATGTGCATGCTTTCACAGTTATCATTGTAAGCTTAGCTGTAAGTTAAATGGTATCGTAGCTTTTTTTTTTATATAGCAGTAATATTCGATTGAATGTACTTTATTACATAAATAAAAATAATATTTATACTTGTATATATTTAAAGTCCATTCAAACGATATAATCGTTGAATCATTTTGGGTGCACGGTCAGTGTAACACTTTTTTTTTAATATATATATATTGTTGCTTTAATGTAATGTGGATTTTGCTGGACTTCCGATATGTCTCAATAGAGGCGTTACTTCGATCGGTCTAGTTGGTTTGTTCAGTTTCACTTTTTATTATAAAAATATTTAGTAGTCAAATTTAAACTGAAAGTGAATCTAGTCTCGTTATACAATTATTATTAAAAATCTATTGTCACGATTAAATTTGGTACAAAATCAATTGTTTTATAATATTAAAACCTAGTTTGGACTCTATCAATTTAGTCAAGTGTCGAGACTCTGTGTTACTAGAACCTGACATGTCGTTAGATACTTTTTGATTATTCGAGAAATATACGTTATTTGGTGATAATAAATGAAATTTATCAGTTTCAAAAAATGTCATTCGACTAAATTACCAAAACAGTCCGAACTAGCAAAATAATTTCGAATAGACGTTGAATAGACATGACTGATATTCGAGATTTACTAGATTTTAATACTATTATATATTACTGATTATTTCATTCGAACTATTTTATTTAATTCCTCTATTATAGAATATTAAGTCGTAGCGCAGGCAGAACGGATGGGACTATATATAACTTTATAGCTACTTAACACATAGGTGTCAGTTGTAACCAAATGCCCTCAAATTTAATATAGAAAAAAGAAACTGAATAACATCACGTTGACCGATTCGAAACCGGCGAGTCCACTCATCGAGGTGTTCGAAAATTAAACGTGTAACGTGGACGGATCCACAGTACGGCGGCGGCAAACCTCTCGGCGCGGGAGTAGGCGCGGGCGCGGGCGCTCCGCGGCGGCACCCCGACTTCGTGAAGGGTGAAGGCGGGTTCGCGGGCCCGGGGCCGGGCGCAGGGGCGGGCGCGGGCGCGGGGGCCGGCGCAGGGGCGGCGGCGGGCGCGCGCTTCGGCGGCGCCTGGGGCGGGGCGTTCCCACGCGCCCCGCAGCCACCCTCGCCGCAGGCCCCCGGCCCCTGGCGCCCGCCGCCCGCCACGCAGCCGCCGCCCTCTTGGCCGCCGTATCAGCCGCAGGTACGTACTTCTTCTTGTTCAAATAAATATATAACTATTTTGCATTTAAATTGATTCGAAAAAGTAACTGACACCACATCAATAACACTGTAATCCTTAGGAGCGAAGACGCATGAAGGGTGAGTACCGTGTGTGAGTGTTCTGTGATGTCCATGGGACATTGTTGCGTGTTCTTGTCAACATAACAGACGAACATAACGAACCCGATTTTAAGGTCATAAAAAGTGAAAATTTCAAAGAAATATTCTGCATAGACGTTTTCTAGACCACAGCAATCCAACATATTACCATCTGTCAGGTGAATCTGATTTTTAATATTTTATTTATAGTTTTGTATACGTGACCGGTATGTTTATACGGTTACAGACTGCAGGCGGGCCGGCATGGGGCGGAGCTCCGCGGCCGCCGACCCAGGACGCATACCCCTCCGCTGCGCCATCTACTGTAAGTTTCGCTTTTTTCATTTATAACCTTTTGATTATTGATAATAAGTAAGATGTTGCTTATTAACCACGTTAGTTATGGTTATGGAACCATTACAACTGTTAAGATAATGTGCATATACTGCATATACTTAGTGTAATAAAAAGTGAATTGAAAAATAATACACAAAGAGTGAATTGAAAAAGCAGCATTAAAGTTGTTTATTGCTCTTAACAGTATCGCAACTAGAATATTTTGTTTATTACAGGGTTCTGGTCCAGGGCTCGGTCAGATAAAACGAGAATTGACATTTCCACCCGAGTGTGTGGAAGCAGCAATGCCGACTGGAGAAAAGCGGCGGAGATTAACGAAAGCCGACGTTGCGCCGGTCGACGCGTGGCGTATTATGATGGCGCTCAAATCGGGTCTGCTCGCCGAAACTTGCTGGGCATTAGACATATTAAACATTTTACTCTTTGACGACAACTGTATAGGTTATTTCGGGCTACAGCACATGCCCGGTCTTCTTGACTTACTTTTGGAACATTTCCACAAGAGTCTTAGTGACGTATTCGACTCGCCAACGACGGAGGATGAGCCGTGGTATGCACCACCGGCGAGTCCCGAACCCGCTCCGAAAGTACGCCGGAAAACGGAACCCATCCATCCCTCGGACCGAGTACGAGTGCTCTCCGGCGAGAACTACACTCTGGAGACTCGTCGTCGGCAGCCCGTTATCTATCGCAACGACGACGAGCTGTTCGCACCCGAGGAAGAGGAGGAGGACGCCGACCACGACCACGATGACGTGCTCGAGCCGTGGCAGTTCGCAGGCGACGCCACAAGCGCCACACATGTCATGCCCTGCTTCCGTGGCGAGTTTGTGCACTTGCCCTTCGTGCGCGTCATGCCCGGCGAGCGGCGACCCTCGCCGCCCGTCACCCCGCCCGCGCCGCCGGCCGCCGCGCCCACCGACGGCGCCCACTCACCTCGCCTCAAGCACGATACGGACGAGGTGGACGTAGTCGATCACACTGTGGGCGCTGCGCCTGCGGACGCGAACTGCGAGCCCGCCGATGCCCCGGCGACCACGCCCGACGGCGAGCGCGACAACCTCGAGGCGGAGCCGATGGAGCTCGAGCCGGAGCGGCGACCCACCCTGCTGGTGCGCGACCCGGCGGGCGTTCTCAAACGTCGCCGGCTCGAGGACTACGAGGACGAGTGCTACACACGCGACGAACCCAGTTTGAACTTAGTGAACGAGACTCGCGACGCACTCGCTAAGCGCTGCATTGCGCTGTCGAACATTCTCCGCGGCCTGACGTTCGTGCCCGGCAACGAGGCGGAGTTCTCGCGGTCGGGTGCGTTCCTGGCTCTGGCCGGCAAGCTGCTGCTGCTGCACCACGAGCACGCGCCGCGTGCCACGCGTGCGCGCGCCTATGAACGCGCGGCGCGCGACGAGGCCGACGCGGACGCGTGCTGCTCCAGCCTGCGCGGTGGCGCCGAGTGGTGGTGGGACGCGCTCGGCCAGCTACGCGAGGACGCGCTCGTCTGCTGCGCCAACATCGCGGGCGGCGTCGAGTTGGCCGGCCAGCCCGAGGCCGTGGCACGCCCGCTGCTCGACGGGCTGCTGCACTGGAGCGTGTGCCCGGCCGCGGTGGCGGGCGACGCGCCGCCTGCCGCCGCCGCCTCCTCGCCGCTCTCGCCGCGCCGGCTCGCGCTCGAGGCGCTGTGCAAGCTGTGCGTAACCGACGCGAACGTGGACCTGGTGCTGGCGACGCCGCCGCGCGGCCGCATCGCGGCGCTGTGCGCGGGGCTGGCGCGCGACCTGTGCCGGCCCGAGCGGCCGGTGGTGCGCGAGTTCGCCGTGAACCTCCTGCACTACCTGGCGGGCGCGGGCGGCGCGGCGGCACGCGAGGTGGCGCTGCACGCGCCGGCCGTGGCGCAGCTGGTGGCGTTCATCGAGCGCGCCGAGCACACGGCGCTGGGCGTGGCCAACCAGCACGGCGTGGCGGCGCTGCGCGACAACCCGGACGCGATGGGCACCTCGCTCGACATGCTGCGCCGCGCCGCCGCCACGCTGCTGCGCCTGGCCGAGCACCCGGAGAACCGGCCGCTGATCCGGCGGCACGAGCGGCGGCTGCTGTCGCTCGTCATGTCGCAGATTCTCGACCAGAAGGTGGCGCACGAGCTCGCCGACGTGCTCTACCACTGCAGCCAGCAGCGCGACGAACCGCGCGACGACCAGTAGATCGACATTGACTGTGACTGTGCGTGTGCGTGTAACGGACGCAGTGCGAGATTCGGCGGTGGTGCGATGAGACTGAGAAATTACCTGTCGGTACGTGTACATATAGTGTTACGGCGCGCCCCGGACGCGGCGCTATGTTCCCGTTTGACTGTTCGTGACTCCGAGGTTATTATAGCGGTGTCTGAAGTGTTAGGCTGTACGATTCGATTTTGTTATTTATGGTCCATGATGATTTATTTACAAGAATGTCAATGTGGTATAATCGATTTCTATTGTTCGATTGAAGAAAGATGTATTATAACTCGTAATTTTGATTTTTATAATAAAATGGGACTTGAATCTGTTTATTGGTTTTATGATGGAGATTTTATACCGAGTACCTTTAGCGCCTTTGTCTATAAGAGAATTCATAGTGGAGAGTGTGAGGAGCTTACGTGGGCTATAAGTTTTAATTAAGTTTAATGTGAATTATTACAATAATCTATAATATATTGAAATTGAATCTGAATTTTATTTATTTATTTTATGAATTGGCATTTTATGATTTTCTGTACCTCAATCTCAAATTCACATTGTCTATAGATAATATGAATATGCGAAATATGATTGACACACATGTTCTGTACAGTTTATTGAAATTAATATAAATCGAAAAAATATATTGGCAATATATGTAGATATTAATTCCATACAGATATCTTAATTACTACCACAACAGTTTCAAGATAATATGGAATTTATTTAGAGGTTTTGTTAGAATAAAATATAAATAACGCATTCAGTATAAAATGTGAAATCTAACATTTTGAATTATTGATATGTCTAATGGTGGATTATCAGTCTAGCGTAACAAATATACTATATAAATAAAACTAATAACACAAAATCTTATATGGACATATCTAAGAATAAGAACTATTATATTCTATAGACAAAATAAAACTATGGATCCAAACGCCGCAACTTTAAAGACGCAATTTATACGGAAAAGCTCAAAAAATTTAGTGATTTTTAGTTAATATGCAGTTAATTAACGTAATAAAGATAATATTTGTATTCTGTTTATTTGTTTTTTAAGATGTCACATAATTTCAAAAATAACTTTTAAATGGTCAGTTCTGGACACTTTGAGACAGTGTACACACATGTCCAATGCTTTTACTACTTATTAGCTAATAACTTTGTTACTAAGTAGAGACGGTTATGAAATTAGTCTATAATAATGTGTGGTTCTAAGAGCGAAATAAAAGTGGTTAAAAATTACATAAAAGACAGTCATAAATACTGCTTTAATGTCCGGAAAACTGGAATGCGACACTTTGCTTCAGTTCTGGTCTGACCGCCGTGCGGTGCGAGTGTCATCTGTGAAGTTACAACGAAACCCCGTCGGCATGGAGCCCGCTTCCGTTGAAGAGCAGCGCGTCGTCAAGTTTCTCTCGAAACTCGCTTTTATTTGACTCATTCCGGGGAACCACGAGCAAGAAAATCCCGCTCAAATGTCAATATTGTTTTTTCGATGTTCGTTGTCCATCAAGAATAAGACAGTTGATGGACTACGTCGATGTGAAATTGTGGCAGAGGGGCGTTGGATTCTTCACCACGACAATGCCCCTGCCCATCTCTTGTTGTCCGTGAGTTTTTGATAATGTGTGCCGGATTTGGCCCCGTCTTCTTCTTGTTCCCAAAAACCAAATTGGTACTTCGGGGGCGGCATTTGGGGACATAAAAGATAAAAAAAGTTAAAAATTACAAAAAGACTTTCAGGATTCTCACAGAAACGGCGTTCTATAAATACTTTGAAGGGGATAAAATTGATTTACCTTAATTGTTTTTTTAAAAAACTTTTATACGTACTTTCCGGACAAACCTCTAAAAATTTTATTCTCTGCCTATTTTAAAAGGGAATTAGGCTGAAGATAGAAGTCGTTTCATAGACTAAATAGGCTTGCACTTTACAACTGGCAACTAATATATCTGACATACTCTATCACTATTCTTTTTTCAACTTTTCTCATTAAACTGTCACCTTTCAGGTTTTGTGAATTTTTGGTTAACACATTTTTTTTTTCAAATTTATTTTTGTTATAATTAAAAAATTGTTTATATGGTAGCCATATTTTAAGTAAATTCAATAATAAAGTTGCATTAGTTTAATGTTATTGATCTAATGTGGCGAGATCCATTTCACGATATTCGATGGAATGTCACTCGAGCGATAGTAAAAAATTATTTAAAGTATTTGACGCATCGAAACGCAAACGAACGAGAAAAAAGGAAGGGGTCGATGATACTAATTCCTTAGCCACCGATGATTCTATCAGTGTAAGTATTCTGTTTGTAGAGACATTCCAATGTTGAGACATTGCTTATAATGTATATTATCGCAAGGAAACTAAGTACACAAAATAGATGATTTTATATAGATATCTCTTTCACCTTATTTCTGTCGCGACGGAGCACATTTTTGCTTGAAGGGTGAGATTGAAATTATTGGGTACTGTGTTCATGTCAAAACTATCGACAACTCTCAAGTGTTATTTTTAAATTTGCCTACCACCGGTATGCTGTATGTTTTTTTTATTATATGAGTGTGACAAGGAATGGGAAACAAGTTGGCCCACCAAATGGAAAACGGTAGCCATTGCCTATAGATATTATTATGGACCAATGGAGTTTTGTCATTACGAAATTACTTAGCGTGTTAAGCTGTCTTGATTATGAAATAACCTTGTGGAAGATTAATAGTAAATATTTTAAAGAGAAGAACGTGTAAAAAACTTGCTAGTATGGTAGCTAGGTGCCTTGTTTGGTATAATTAATGCCTATTTCTTAAAATTCACAAAAGAATTATACAGACACGAATACATTATAATATCGTAGGTGTCATAGGAAGGTATTTACCCAATCTGGTGGACTTATCTTGCATATTTGAATGTTTTACTACTATGGTGGTAAACAAGGATACGGCCCGTCTGATGGTAAACGGGATTACCGTAGCCTATGGATGTTTGTAATATTAGGAATGTCTTTTAGGATTTTCTGTTTTTACTCGCAAGTGATCCGTTGTATGGGAGAACGGCTATTTAGTTGAGATAATTGAATAACGACCTACATAAGAATAAATGAGTTAAAAATGTATTTTTCTTCGATAAGGTTGTAATAATTAAGAAGAACTAATAACAGTGAATTGCAGCAGGTATGTCAAGATAATATACGTCAAAAGTCGTCGTCGGCTAAGGCTAGTTTGCAAGATGTCCCTACAGCCCAAACAATAAGTGTACCCAAAGAATTACATAATGTTAGAAGGTGATTTTTATCTTGATATTACACTTATTAATATTCGTATTTTGATAGTGACAGAAAAAATAATATCTCTTACAAGAATACTTTTGACTCAGGTTATAACATACATTTTTTTTATTATGTAACTTAGAATGGCGAACAAGCTGACGGTCTATTTTATGAAAAGTCGTATCTATATCATCGCCTATAGACATAAATAGTGTCATGGATATAACAGAGTATGCTTTCTTGCGCATTATATCTTTCAAGCGTTACTATACCTGAGGACAACGAAGTTAGATCTTTATTTGGATAAAAATATTAGTCAGCATCACCCACTGTATCTAAAATCAATCGTGTTTACCAAATCGATAATGGGAAGTTAAAACACAATATTGAATCTATCCCCGACTTTTGGGTCTATAAATAATGTAGTATCACCATTTGGGCACGATACGACACTTTCAGGAATTTGTAATTATTCTTTGTTATAATCCAAGATGTTCATTAAAAGTAGTATGTATATGTCCTATATTTGGCACACAAATACTACATGTATACCTACTATAATTCAGGACGATTGGTGGAGCTAAAACGGCAATAATCTAACGATCTCAATTTTATATTTATAATATTCGTATTAATAAGGATCCACCTTAATATCTCTACATGCAGAGATAGGGATAGCAGTCCTTCAATGACCCGTTCACCAGATGCTCGCCATCGAAAATTACGTTCACCCGTCGACGGTCACCGACCGTCAAGATCACCGCGACGCCATCGCCGACCTACGTATGTTTACTACTTTTTGATTCAACCTTATTTTAATAGTTTTGTTATGTTCCACTATTGAGAAAAGATCATCTTGGACAACTGTATAGGGATAGATACTGTAGTTTGAGGACCAAGAAATCTGTAGGTAAATTGTATGCGATGTTTCGACACTTAACAAAGATTTCAAATAATATTGTTTGATCATTGCAGAAGGGACGGCATATCACTAGCATTGAAAGCTGGACTCGTGTCTACCCCTCGTTCGATTTCACCATTACAGGTATATAATAAAATATGATGACTTTTGAGGGGGCATAATGATTAATAATTTTATGTCATGTATACGTGTACTTAGATATAAATATTATACTTTGGTATAAACTATGCAATTATGCAGTACCGTCTCGAATATACAATTAGGTACATTATTATCATCTCAGATATTAATCATCTACTGCTGAACATAGGCCTCTCCCATAGATTGTCATAGGGAACGGTCCTAAGCCACCACTGACTCCTTGCAATGCATTTAAGATCGTCACTTCATCTAGTCGGGGGTTGGTTCACACTGCGTTTGCTCGTACAGTGTCGCGACTAAAGAACCATTCTTTTATGTACATTCGCCTTGCAAATTAATGAAATATTATCATTTTATTTATTTTGTGTACAATTAAAAAAACGTATTGTTACTTGAAATAAAATAATTATCAATTATACATGAAATCAAATATTAAACAGAAGAAACTATAATGATGCGTTTCTTATTTATCTTTCCAATATAGGAAGCAGATATCGGCTTAGAGTCTATTCCCAAAGACCAAGATTCATTTATTTACGCGTTCCTTGAAGAAGCAATTAAAAGGGATAAAAGAAAGTAAGTCCAAATATGTCGTTGCCCACTTTTACCGATATTCATAATAGAAACTATAATTATATAAGCGATTAATTTTCATTTTAGATAATTGGTGCATACAAAGTCCACTTCCCAACTTGTAACTTTCATATTTTTATAGGTAGTTCTGATGTGCCATTTTTCTAACCCTATTTCTTAATTTAATCTTATAAATATATACCTAAATATATAAATAATCTACACAGTGTAATATGTATAAGTTTCGAGTCTTTTCGTGTGTTCTCTTTTGATAAGGCAGCGTCATTGTCGGCGGCATTACGACGAGTACCAAATGAGCCGCGACAGAGATCCGTCAAGTGCACGAAGGCATCGCCATCACCATCGCCACCGTGAGGATGCGCCATCTAGAGATTATGACAAGTACATAATTATTCTTTAATTGAAAATTTTTTTGGCTTCAAAAAGGGGAGGTACTCTAACCAAATTTATTCCATGTGTTTCACAATATTTTCATCAATAAGAGGGAATTTTGATGATCGTCATGATAATCATTATTTTAGCTGTTTCACCTTTAGTCGAATATGTGTCTGTTACAAGGAACTGTCCTGAGTTTCTTGTACTCACTAACACTACGATACACAATCGAGGTCACTTCATCTAGTTCTCTTAAACTACATTTGACCGTATAAGGTTGCTTGGGATTTCATATTAGATATAAAGTCGGCGCATTGCCACTTCAGATTGGTGATAATTCTTTTTTAACCGAAAAAAAATTTCGTATTAGTTTCACTAGTAATTATATCTACATTGAAGCCGGTTTTATCTCTGTCATGTCCAGTTACTAAGAACTTAAGTCATTTTGACTCAACGAAGAAGAGTCAATCAATCAGTATATTATCTACCTCTTTAATAGCATTAGATAAACAATTTTATTATTAAAACACTTGCACATTCAGGTCGTCAAAAATAGTATCAGCGGCACCTGCGATTGATCAAGTAGCTCTCTTCGAAACATTCGCTAAGATATGTGCGCAGTTGAATGATAAAACAACGCACTGTGCTCCTCAAGTAGTAAGTATCTGAGCAAAAATTCGCGACGTAAATAATTTAACAATTATTTTATGGAACTTAGAATGGCAAACAAATCAATGGACCACCTAATGGAATTTGGTAACCGTAGCTTTTAGACGAGAATAACAACATGGATATTGTAGAATACTCGTACACTATGATGTTATGAGTAATTTTCATCCATATATGGATGACTCAAGTATTATGCTTCAGTACCCTTCAATTTCAGTGTTAAGAATGGGAACTTTTCAAACCGAAATATATAAACACAGCTAGCTACTTTGAATTTTTAAATACAAACGAGTTTTTTTTAGCCTCACACTCAAAGTCACAAGTCATTGCAATGCGAAGTGGTGTCAAGACGCAACTCATGTGATGTAAATCAACAGCCAATAAGATTACGTAGTCACGAACACTCCAGAGAAAATGTGTCAAAAATGAGAAGCCAAGAGAATTTTCGAGGTAGAGTTCATAGTCACGATAAAATCCCCACTAACCAGCTCCACAGGAGTGAGAAACAAGAGAAATGTGCATGTGCTTCTCATTACGATAAAGATCCTCATTTCGCGAGTAAACTAGATTTGAATGCATCGAGAATTCATAATGTTGTAGACGATAGATATCGTGAGTATCCGTCTAATGCCGCTCCTACTAGAAACGGCATAAATCATTCTTATAGACCCCCTCCAATTGAGCATAGGAGTTATAGAGATTATGAACGAGATACCATGGCATCAAGGCACTGTTACGATGACAAAAGAAGATCTTTCGAGCAGAAGACGAGCAGAAGTTTTGATGTTCATAAAGAAGTTTATCCGGATGATGATAAATATTGCCGCAGGACAACAAGAAGCGACGCAAATAAGGAAAAGCGTTATGATGACCAAAAAGACAGAAGATATGATGAAAGAGATAAATATTTTAATGATAGACATTTAGAAAGAGATCGTTTCCACATGTCGAGTAAAGACAAGCGGTCGAGGCGTCATATGGAGAGGTTAGAAAGGAATTCTTTCGCATCAAGAGAAGATGACTATAGAGATAGAGATAGATATTCAGAACATGGGAGGGACTCTGGACTGAGCGTTGCTGATGGCGAGACTAGTACAATTAGTGGGCGGAGCAATTATTTGCGAGTGGTCAAAGTAAGCTATGTTTAAAAGTAAGAGATTATCATAATCAAATCTTTATTTTTTTATGCAACTAGAATGGTAAACAAGCTGGCGGCCCACCTGATGGAATGTAGTAAATGTCCCCTATAGACATGACCAGTATCATGGGCATAACAGAGTATACTGTTTCGCCAATGATACTCCCCATGCGTTATCATTCCTAAGAATTCAGATGTTATTCTTCTGTTATAAGTATAGCAACGTTAAAATGATTTGCCAATTTTCAATTTTTTAATGTTTCTGATTGATTATTTAAAAAGTGCTGTGCTAGCAAACTAAAATGTTAATTATAGAATACATTGCATATAAAACCACTAAAAACTTTGTACCTACTTCATATTTAATTACATTTTTACCATTAAAATCGAAATTTTTTGTTGCAGCGTTATAAGAATAATATTGCATGTCTAACGTTTTAGTGTTCTGCTACCGAACTTTCAAATAATTAATCATTAAAAAATGTTCAGTTGTTTTTGAAAATTAACAAATATTTGCGACGTTGCCAAACTTTGATAAGCTAATGTTATAAACGCTCAAGAACTAATACTATGTAATTATTATTAAAAGAATCTTGAGTGTATTTACTATAGTAGTAATGATATTTTAGTAGTAATAGTAGTTAAATAATAAATGAGCTATTATTGAGTTACTGTATCTTAGGGAATTGTATTGTAAAATCTTTATTGTTCATAATCTCTAAGGGATCTCTTTTGACAATTTTGTGTTATTATATTTTTACAGCAGGAAATATCGGAACAACGTGAAGCAATGGATAAAATGATGAAATTGTGGAAAGAATTGATGCGATGCTTCAAAGGGATATCGTCACAAATGCAGGGCCCAGATAAAGCTGTTCAGGTAGATAAATTATTTTTTTTTAATTTAATATATTTATGTTAAAATACTTGTTTTTGTTTCTGGTAACCCTTAAGATAGGTATTGCAAAAAGACGGGGTAGAAACGTACGCCGAAGATTGTTTCTTGTTTTTAGATGTATACACAAGTTGAGATCTGTAGCGAATGTCAGTATTTACGTTTTATTATTTGGATAGGATTCGCCTGCGAACGTTCGGGAATCCGCAGCAGCACAACTTCGTTTATGGCGGGAATGTATGCGGCGTTACGAGACGGTGGCGCGCGACGTCGGCGATACTGACGCTCGACTCATGGTTTTAATTTCTTTTTCTTTATTAAATACACGTTGTAATCAAAATTATTAGCATTCTTTTGTATATGTAATAAATACAAATAGGACAGAAAAGACAAAGTTGGGAGAATCCAAAAAATCATCTTAAAAGTTTTCAGTTAGAAATTATTATAATGATCTTGTTGTGTAAGTTTATTTTCTAATTTGTTAATTTTAAAATTTAGGTCGAACGATGAAACAGTCATATCTCTGCAAATAAATAAATATAAGTTTGATATATTTATGATTATGCGATAGGTCTATATTTTAAATTGACATATCGTGTACAATGTTGCCATATCTGAGAACTTTAATTACAGGAAGAGATCAACAAACAACGTTCTGAAATGGCGGAAATGGCTAGCATGTGGCAAGAGTGCTTGCAACGTTACCGCGAGATGAGCACAGACTTCAACAGTCTTAAACAACAGGTCATTAATGTTGATACCTAACATACAAACTATTCACGCCACGACGATTAGAGGGTAAACAAAGTAGAGTGTATTTAACAGTCCGCTGATAATGTAGTACAGTAATTTCTATAATATTTTTTTTATTTATCCATTACATGCAATAAATCAAATCTTTCCTCTTTAGGGTCTCTGAACTAATATTAATTCAAAAACACACCACAAATATAATAAAATACTTTAGGAATATATGAAATGGAAATGGAAATTGGATAGAAATAGAGGAATACCACAGGAGTATATTCTGCGACGTCCATAATACTAGTTAATTTTAAACGTTATTGACATATTTTAAATACACTATCAGCCTTTTTACGACCACAACATGGTACGATCCACGTCGAAACATCGGCAATAAAAATCTTGCGTTTTGTTAAGTTCCGATCCTTCTTCGTGTTTATAAGCGATAGTTATTTAGCACTTTACGTGCTACTTTCTATTGGGCATTTTTTATAATGTTAATTTTTTTTATATACTTATACATAGTCATTGTAACATTTTTCCAGTTAGTGACACCTGAGAGCCCGACACGAATGCCTGGACCGCCTCTAGTGTGCGCCGAGGGCGAAGGCACCGTACCTCCTGGCCCGTATTGTCTACCACCAGGCTATCCGCCGGTAAACGCTTTTATTCTAACTTATGATTATCCCATAAAGAACATTAAAATATTAAAAAATACAGTAAACTAGAATTTATAACGACACGTCATTGTCACGTCACGTCAGACAGATTTATAATAAACAATGCACGCTTATAATTTATCGTAGCATTGCACGTCTTATCGTCGTGATATAATAGGAAAGAATTTTAAAATTCTGTGCAAGTCTGCAATCGCAAAATTTTGTTTTCCTATTATTATTTCTTGTGTAGATATATTGTGCGGTACGTTGTATACGGTACGGTAAATTGTAAATGCATCCAATAGCTATAATAATTAATTTGATAAGCACATCATGATATAGTTCGATTTAAAAGGCTGAATCAAATTTTATTTGGCACATAAACCATATTCTGATCACATAGGATACCTTTTGTCTTAATCCAAGCAAGAAAATTTACGGAATACCAATAGTTACTTTATTTACAAAAATATGAAGATTATTTTCAATACAATTATGATATTATATTTTTTAGATTGGGCCTATGCCTGTTTATGGTAATGGCGGTTCCCCGCTGAGACCTCGTGCGTCCGCGCCGCCGGCCTGGTGGTGGTGCGGAGAGAGGGCTCGACTTTCGCCCAGGCGCAGGTCTTCACCAGAGTCCAGGGGCTCTCGAGACAGAGACCGGGAGAGAAGACATCGACACAAAGATAGAGATCGAGGTGACAATCTAATGGCCAAATGTTGCAATTATCCAAATCTAAAGGCAAACAACTCACAAGAAATAATATACCTATCGTATATTTCAAATGACAATAAAGGAGCTTCTCAATTTTACAGTATTCTTTTTTTGGGTGTAAACCGCACAATACTGCGCTATAAATAAAAAGACATCAAAATCGGTTTACTAATCAGTTTTTATTTATTAATTTCTTTTCTCGGAAATCGGCCTTTTACACTTGATTCTCTTAAAACAGGCAATTCCTTAGTTTTCGTTGTGAAACAAAACGTTAAATGATTACTTTCTCTTTTCCTTTACAGATGATTCGAGATACAAAGAAAAATCTTCAAAACCCAATGCCGCACGTTCAGAGCACAGGCACAGGAAAAGATGATCATTAAATTCGAGTAGATAATGTTATAAAAAAAACTGCAAACAATCTAAAAAAATGTGTTGTGTCTGGAAATTTTATAAAAGAATAAATTAAAAAAGAAAAGTTAGTTTTCAACGTGTATTCAGAGTCGTCTACAAAATGTTTTAAATTTTTGTTTAGATCTAATAAAAGTATATAAAAAGTAAGGTTGTTTGCTTTGACGGCTACATTTCAATCGTTAACTGCTAAATATAAGCCTTTCCCATACCCCTTATGGGTTATGTTAGTTTTGCCAGTAGTTGCCACGCTTGGCAGGCGGGTTGGCAACCGCACTTTGAAGATTATCCAGAGAAAAAGAAAATCATTTATTAGATATTTATATAAAAAAGACAATATTCTACTTTATATTACTCCTATAAGTATAATGCTATGGTACAATAAAAATATAGAATATTGGCTCAAATAAGTTTTATAATACAATAAATACCAAATTTGGGGAATTTACAATTTTTTGTATTAATGTTTTATATATTTACGCACACAATGTATCTTGATATATCTATATTTAATTATTGAATAAATAAGTTTATATGCATTAAAAAGGCGCAAAATTTATAAGACAAATATAGAAGTTATGTAGGAATCACTCAATGATTTATCACGCAAAATTGTATGAAAAAATTGACCTGCTTTTCTCTATGTATGGAGATTATCTATATGAACTAAGGACTAAGGTGGCCATCTAAAGTTTACATTTACTATAGAATTCAAAGTTAAAATCGTCTGTAATTAAATAAAATCTTTCAAATGGATGCACCTACTTGTTTACAAACTCTTAACATTTTTTGCTGGCTTCCAATGTTGATATATATATATATATATATATATATATATATATATATATATATATATATATATATATATATATATATATATATATATATATATATATATATATATATATATTTACAACTTAGAATGGCAAACAAGCTGACAGCCAACCTGATGGAAAGTGGTAACCGTCGCATATAGACATGCCCAGTACCATGGATATAACAGAGTATACTGTTTCGCCCATGATACCCCCCATGCGTTGCCATTCCTGAGGACTCAAGTGTTATTCCTCTGTATCTAGTAAATTCACGCCATATCCCACCCTTCAAACCGAAACACAGCCATGCAAACACAATTGCTTCACAGTTGTGAAGAACAGGTAAGAAACTCAGTAGTTATTTCTTTAAATAAATTCATAATGTTAAGAGAACATTGTATTTATTTAAATGTACTATATCTAAAATGACATGATCATCTATAAGCAGATAAGTTACGAAATACTAGATATCATTCAGGTACATTTATTATAAAATAATGTTAGATGTACAAAAGTTATGTATAAACAGTTAGCAAGAATATCTAAAACATCATGCAATAGGTATCATTTAATATATTCACTTTTTTGTATTTATATTTTTAGATATGTGTATTAAATTATAGGAATAATATTGTAACACAAATAAGATAGAAAATAAGAATGAATGAATTCTTTGAACCTTAAAAGTTTATAGATACTTTTTCAAAGAATCCATTCTGACTAGAAAACTAAGCATTTTAGATTGGTTACAGTGACTAAACCTTAAAATTATAAAAAATAAAGTACGTTATAAGCCTATAGACTAGATAGTAACATTTGCATTTATTACAAGGCAAGCTATACAACAATATATACAAACCTATTACAATTTCAAGAAAACATTACATTAGTTATGGTTTCAGACAGTTTCCACAACTGTTCAGCAAGGTGAATATCTTTTGCACTTTCAGATGGTGAATCTTCATGACAATTCACAAAATACTTTCCGGTTACTAATTCTAATTCTGGTGCTACTGCTAAATGTATTGAGGTTTGTGCGCCTTCGTATGGTGTTTTCCACACAAGCTTTATTAAGTATCTTACTATTGGATGTTGATTACGAAAAATATCTGTGCTCACTGCACCAGGATGTAAAGCATTGACAGTAACACGGGTACCAAGTAATAATTGACTCAATTTTAAAGTAAACAGAAGATTAGCTAATTTTGTGTCTGAATATACCCTCCTACGTTCCAATATATTTTTTGCTTGTTTATGAAATGTTTGTGGATTGACCTTTCCAAATCGATGCATTATTGAAGAGACATTAATAATCCGGCTCGGCGCTGATGACTTTAGTAACGGCAGAAGTAAGACTGTGAGCAAGAATGGCCCGAAGTGATTGACATGTACTTCTACCGGCAAATTGTCTTTCGTCAGCGCATTGTCGAGTACACCCGTACCTGCGTTGTTCACTAAAATATGGATGGATTGTTCGGTTTTTAAAATATCATCAGCGAATTTGCGAACAGATGCAAATGAACTTAGGTTCAACTGTTTGAATATCACTTTATCGTTTTTTGTTAATCGTATAATGTCGTCTCTGGCTTGCAAACCTTTTAACTCATCACGGCATGCGAGAATAATCTTAGCTCCACGCCTTGCCAAATCTTTAGCTGTCTCAAAGCCTATACCGGTGTTAGCGCCTGTTACAATTACAACTTTGTTACTCATTTCAGTTTTACATTTACACATTCCACACGTAATTTTGATATAGAATTTCAATGAAATTGTTAAAATAACTATACATAGTAATATAAATAACCACATTATTATAACAGACAAATAATAATACTTCGAAATTGAAATATAAATTTGAAACAGGTAGCCTAAAACACTAAATAAACACTAAAAGCGAGAGTTATATTTAAACATCTCTGAAATAAGAACACGACAACAGTTGTTCTTTTAAATTGTATTTACAATTAAGAAGGGAATAATTATTAGTTATGAAAATAATAATTATTTTCTCAGATAAACGAACAACGATAAAACAATGCTTTGAAAAATTATGTAGGTACTTTATGATCAAGCGAAACTATTTTTTTTTTGTTCCGTTTCCTCCTCAAATTACTTAAATACCACAGAGCAAGTAATCACTAAGTTATAGCAAATACGTTATACTAAGTTTTGATTTTCCTTATACATAGGGAAGGCAACAGGCTTAGCTTATACTGTTTTTGTCTTTGGTAATTTCTATTTTCAGCTTTTGTACATCATAGTTCTTTGTATGTTAAAATTCTATATTTATAAGTGTATTTATATCTTTGTTTGTTTTTTTAACAAATTCTGTATAGAGCGCAGGATATACATACTGTTGTAGATATTCATTAAATTGTCTATAATTATGAAGTAATGCAGGACAAAACGTTGACAGGCAAAAAACAAATGGTAGAATGAGAGTATTACATTAGCTGAAGAGAGCACACAGTTAGACAATAAACAATAAACAAAAACATATCAGTCACATGTAGGAGAGTAAACTTTTTATTTTGTTAATTTTGAATGACAGTGATTGACAGAAATAATGTTTTTCTGTATTTGTCAGTTTATTTGATTTATAAAAGTCTGCAGGTATTAATCTTAATCTATGATTAAGATAAGTGTTTACCCGTTGTGTCTATAAAGTGAACATACTTAATCTATAACATACTTAATCTATGTCAACATGAATACGTTAAATTGATTACCTCTACGGTGTGGGGGGATAGGGATTGTCAATAATGGAGACCAAGAATCACATTGCTAGCAATATACCCAGCCAGGTCGACCTCCTCACGGTCCTCCATGGAAACTATCATGGTTAATTCCTTGTGAATTTGTCGTGATGGACTAACTGGCTTGTTTTCATTCTCATCGATCACCCTCCACTGGTGCTCCGCCAGCGTATCCCGTTAGCGCAGGCGGGGTTACTATTCCATTTTCAACCATCAAAAAAAAAAAAACCTCTACGGTGGTAATGAATTTACGCTTAAAAATTACTATGAATGGTTCACGGTGTGGTTAGTTTCAATTAAAATTTCAAATTTAGCTATATAAGAATTTAAAAAACTACTACCAATGTATAGTTAGTATGTCAGTTATAGCTTTTTACATATAATGATTACCTAGTGAGTACCTATGATATATATAGAATATATATTTTTGACTTATACTTAGTTCTTTAGTTATATGATATTTCAAAAGTTATTTGGTACATACAGGTTATACTGTATAAACATTGTGGCTTTGAGGGAATAGAAGGCACTCGAGCCCAAAACCTGTTTAACGAGTTTTTATCATGAGTGTTTATGTTCGCATAGATTTTATAGATCTTCATAAATTCCAACTATTCAAACAAATATCGTTTCATCGTATAATATGTAATGAGAAAAAAACAGGAAATTCAAGCGACTTTGTATCCATTTGACTCATAAATATAAAAGTTTGTAACGATGGATGATTGTTTGTTACTTTTTCATACAAAAACCAATGAATGGATTAGAATAAAATTTGGTATACAAATATGTTATCCTAATTTAGTACATAAGGTGGGAAAGGGATTGTTAGTAATACGGACTATTAGTCCCATTGCTAGCAATACATCCTATTTGGTCGACCTCCTCGCGGTCTCCCCTGGAAAACATCGTGCTGAATTCCAGGTCTATTCATCACGATGAGCTAACTGTCTTTTCTTTCTCACCTATCATCGCTCACTGGTACCCCGCCAGCGTATACCGATAGAGCAGGCGCGGTTACCACCATTGGTTATCACCCATTAAAAAAAAAAAACCCCGGCCCGCTAAATACCTAATTATTATTTAGGAATATCCAATTATACAGGGTGAAATCAAATCATTAACATCCTATTAATAAAGTGTAAAATTGAACATTGGTCCCGAAGAAATGCAACTTGCAATACGACAAATTCTGAGTCTTCCATTAAACAACACACGTCATATCCAGTAGGAGGACCAGAGGGAGACTTTGTACAAAAGTCGATTGCTGTGTTTGCATGGCTGTGTTTCGGTTTGAATATGGCGTGAATTTACTGGGTACAGAGGAATAACAACTGAGTCCTCAGGAATGGCAACGCAAGGGGGGTATCATGGGCGAAACAGTATACTCTGTTATGTCCATGGTACTGCTCATGTATATAGGCGACGGTTACCACTTTCCATAAGGTGGGCCGTCAGTTTGTTTGCCATTCTAAGTTGTATAAAAAAAATCTTGTGAACTATCAGAAATAATGGAATTAACGTGAGCAGTTTTGGTTTTAGTTTTACCGTCATCATCATCACACCCCATTATCATGTCTGCTATGAAGCACAGATATTTTGAATAAGAGGAATTAATCTATTTTTAAAAAAGCTGACTTGTGGAAAATGCTATGTAGCTTTAAATGCGCTTTTTGTAACCATTTTTTTTGTAATGTGGTCAATAAAGAAATTTATTATTACAATGCTTGTTAGGCCTCATTATTAAGATATTAAGTTTTGTTCGCATTTTACGAGATTCTGGGAGCAAAAACAAATGGCGACGAAAAAAAAATTCTTTCTGAAGAAATGTTGTGAATATTAAAACTAAAACCAGTTTTTATCAAATTTATAATGCTTTGTTTGTTTCTTACACAAAATACAATATTTTCTTTAAATATTATCTACTGGGCTACACAGATAAAATTGTCGTTTTAACTAGAAAATGACAACATTACTATTACATTATCAATTGTTGTTTTTTTATTACAACTGTTTATTCGTGCTCTGTTGCCAGCAACATTTAGTAACTAAATTAAAAGTATTTTCGACAATTAAGATCTTATAGTAAAATATAAAATAACATATAAAGCTGTATTTCTGTGTTTACGTTAACATTACGCATTATAGTAATAGTTCAATAACACCTAGATAGAGTATCTCCCTAGAATATAATTAAAGATTGTGTTTCATAAAAAATGGACTTTAATCGTTACAGAACTAGTTATTTTCATCTAAAATTAAAGTACTGAACCGATTTTGATAAAATTTTTAAGAGACTTATCCGCAAGTATGTCCTATCAGAAAAAAAAAATCCAAATTGGTTTACAACTGACGGAGTTATTAGGTGATAAATAAATTAGTAAAAAAATAACCCATTTAAGAACTACTTTTTTTTTTAAGTCGGTTTCTTTTTAAAAAAGATGTTTTTACAGTAATTTGTATTAATATTATAATTTGTGAATTTCATCACGCAGATACATTTTAAGACTTTCAGATAGTGTGAAAAATAACACATTAATCAAAAAGGTTTGATACTCTATCCAGATTTATATGATTTATATGATTTTAAACATAATTTTTTTTTGTATAATATTCCTATAAAGGTTCTAAATAAAGGCCAATATTCAATATATTTTACACACAAGATGATAATATGTTATCACTCTTAGCACCTATCCTTTGTAATATATATTACCAAATGTTTCGCAAAATTAACTTTATACTTAGACATGTGATCGAAATTTTATGTGTTCATAGTCGTAGATTATAGAGAGCAACTTAATATGTAATTGTATATTGAATTATGATGGTTTCATAGCTATAAAGGACTCTCTTCATTCCAGTAATCCCTTTACGAATCCCATAAGAATTAAGTAAAAAACAAAACAAGAAAGTTGTCGACGTACGACATTTAGGATAATGTATGATACCGTTTAAAGATGTTAAGAGCGTTCATACATTAGATAACATAAGCAGGACAATATTGCGATTATCTGTCAATTTTTAATATTTTTGAAACTGACAGATAAGATGAAAAGCTCTGTTGACGAACTAAAACATTAATCTATTTATTTATTTAACTTTAATACACTTAGATAGTGTAAATGGCGGACTTAACACTACGTAGGGTTATCTACAAGTCGACTTTAGACAGGATAAACGGAAAATATAATTGACGGTGCAACGTGATGAGTAAATAAATATTAATCATAGAATACATTGCATATAAATGTACCACTAAAAACATTGTACCTACTACATATTTTGCTGCGTAATTTTTTAAATATTTTTTGTTATTAAAATGTGTATTTTCAGTGGCAGCTTTATTAAGAATCTTATTAGAATGTTATTGTATAATTAACTGTCCTTATTTATGTTTCTAGGTATGTATTACATTTTACTCGAACGTACTAAGAGAAAACTCGTTCATAGGTTTTGCAAGTTTTTATTATAACTATTGATTGATATACTAATCAGTGCTACTAGAGTTAATATTATCATCAAATCAAAGTGCACCAAAACAAGTTTTGGGCACTTTTATTTATAAAACAGTGAATAATGACTGTATTAAAAGAATATATAATATATATAACATATTTTTCTCAGTCTGTAGGAAAATTCTTCATTTGAGTCGTTCACTTGCCCAAATTCCATCGGGCACGAAGACCTAATGTCTCTACACATAAAACAACATATTAGGTATACATTGACGATTACTTATCTTATAAGATAATGAAAATACATTCATAATTATTTCTAAGAATGAAAACATAACACTCACAGTTCAGTTCAGTTGAGAAAACGATTGGAGTTAAATTGTACAAAGACTCCATTTATTTACAGTCTGACAAATATCTGTATTAAAATTCTAACGACGCTGTAATATAAGAAGATAAGTATAAAAATCGGATATCTGTTACTATTCAACCCCTTTTGACAAATTATAAACGAATCTATTGATAGAATCGTTATCGCTAGCGAGTCAGGATAGAATATCTCAGGATAGAATGAGACAGCGACATGCATTGTCTTGTTCCGTCTCATGTGAGCGCTGATCAAAACGATTTTATCAATTAATTGTACCTCGTCTAGAGGGACAAAATAAAATTATCACCAATTCTTATCTCATATAGGCATCTTTGTAATACAGAGTTATCATTGTGAGTTACTTTTATTCTATACCTATTCTAATAATGAAATAAATAGCTATTCTTTATTTCATAGATATATTATTAAAATATTAAAATCAGTACCTAACTATTGCTGTCAGAATAATTAACAAATCTTACTAGTAGAGTTTCTAATTTAATATTACTATACTTTCATTTAATTTTAAATTGCCAGCTGTATAATTAGAATAATTTGTTTAACAAAATGATATCATAAATATTCCGCGCCATTTTCACTGTGCCATGCGATGTCATCGTGGTTTTATTATCAATATTCAACTTTATCTTTTAAGGTTTAAGTTTAATTATATATTTAGTGATTTAAATTGAAATTAGTAAAAATACTTATAACATTACAAGGAGTACGTGTGCGTATTAAATAACTTGGAACAGTATTACTTAATTTAAATCGCATGACAATGTGTAAAATTGTTTAAATATGTACTGTTTTAACTACAGTAAAAGATTATATTTTTACAAAATCTTTAATATAATATACATAAAAATATATACGACTTAATATCTAAGTAAAAATAATATTGACTATAAAGGCAGTTTCGACGGAACTTGTGAATAGGGCAGATGTTGTATTCCACTATATTTTTTTTTTGTTTGATTATTTATATAATAATTTAATTTTGTTAACATACACGACCTCGCGAAGTCACTGTTTCATTTAAATTTTATAAAGTAGCCATACAAAAATTTCTAAGAAAGTAATGGTTAATTAAGAATTATCAATTATGGTCTTAGGAACAGATAAACTTAATAAATAATTATTGAGAGGTCAGATTGATATGTAATCTAATCTGTCTCTCGTTTTTTTCAATAAAATACATTTCAAGTGGATCTATTTGCTAATTATCGTATATTACACACACGTATATAAAACATTTTAAATAATTAATTAGACACATGAATAATTCTAGAATTTTATTAATTTACTGTAATATGCCTAGTGAAAGTAACAAATATCATAATAGGATGGCGTATACCGTAACATGTGGAAGGAACTATGGCAGAATCTGGAAGATTATGGAAGAATTTGTTTAAAATTAACAAAAATCTCTTCTATTGCTTAAGATATATCAATAAACACTGTGAATATAATTTTATTGTTTGTAAGTACTTATGAGTCCCTGTAAATATTTTGCTAATTGTATTATTGCTTATTATTTATTGATTTATATAGCATAGTAAAGCACAAGTGGATTTGTTTTTTTTTTATATTGTAATACAGGATATGTTTGAATAAGTACATAAATAATATTTAGATACTCAGAATTGTGCGGTATTTACTTGTGACATTATACTTATTATCCTGTTTAGTCGATCGAAACAATGCATTAATCTGTACTTTAACCTCAATCATAAATTTAAAACAAAATCTTATCAATTATTGTAATAACGTAATATTATTTAAATTAATATAATTACAAAGTTTAAATTTCAAAAAGGTAACTTGTTTTGAATTTTTCTTCGATTCCCCGTCTCTATATACATGACTTATTTAATACAAGTTTAAACAACACAAATAATAAATACAGTTAATTTAGTCATATCGTAACACATTATTCACTTTGTTTTGTCACTAGCGTCCGTCTCGCCCGGTGTGCATCAGTAAACCTGAAAAAAAAGGAAAATCTGATTATTTTATTTATATTACATTTATTACTGCATACTTATCGTTTTTATTTTTGCTTGAAATTTACAATGCGTTCTTTGTTAACTGAATTTAAAAATAAACAGATTTTCAATTCGGTTGTATTTTTTTCATCAGTGACAAATAAAACGACTGGGATTTTCTTTGTCGAATATATTCTTTTTTTATAGGAAAAACGAAAGTAAAAATTATGTTACTTCTTTTATGTATTTTCTTTTTTTTTATTCTTTTACCTCTTTTTTTGTATATATCACACAAATACGTAACAACAGACAGACATGTCTGTTGTTATTTGTATGTTGTAAGTAATGCAAATAAATTATCTATCTATCTGAAAGTATATACTTATAGATTGGTCCCATAGACAATTTATCAAAATCGATTCAGTAATTTAGTTTTTTAATTAAAATTTGTGATTTTAGCTAAACACTCTACATGTACTATTCTTGGAGGAAAGGGATTGTTAGTAATGGAGTCAAATAGCCGTATTATTTACCAGAGGTCATGTCCAGACTTTGTACAAAAGTCGATTGCTTGTATAAAAAAAAAAAAAAAACTTGAGGAAAGGGATACCTCTGTCCCATTCGTGTTTCAACCGTAAAGCAGTTGTGTTTGCATGGCTGTGTTTCGGTTTGAAGGGTGGGATATGGCGTGAATTTACTGGGTACGGAGGAATAAGATCTGAGTCCTCAAGAATGGCAACGCATGGGGGATATCATGGGCGAAACAGTATACTCTGTTATGTCCATGGTACTGCTCATGTCTATAGGCGACGGTTACCACTTTCCATTAGGTAGGCCGTCTGCTTGTTTGCCATTTTAAGTTGTATAAAAAAAATATACCGTAACAGGTTGACCTAATTGAATACGTCAAAATGGGCAAACTGACCTGTTTTCTTCCGCAACTGTTATCTTTTACTGGTGCCCCGCCAGCGTATAACGATAGCGCGGGCGGGGTTACTATCCCATTAACATCCATTAAAAAAAAACATGTGTTGTACATGTGTACCTAAATAACTAGAATTACAGCTAGTTATGCAGAAAACAGTGCCCTTCTTAAAACATCTCTAGAAACTTAACGTTTAAAATGATGATGCATCATCATGATGCAGAAAACAGCTATCTTGTATAGACATCACGAGTTATGTGGCTGCTATCTCTATAATTATTTCCAAGTATACTGTATGATTATTGGTATAAAATTTCTTAAACAGAATAGAGACTATTACCAGATAATATGGGCAGGTGGGCTGTTAGCTCAAGTTATGTATATTTCTTTTATAACAATCTGTTACATAAATAATTACCGATAATAAAATCTGTTTACAGGTGTTGAAGCTACTATTTAAATACATAAACCCTATACATACATAACCCTACATACAAACAAAATAAATACATACACATACAATCGAATAAAGATCTTCATTTTTGAAATTGGTTTATCAGATTTATATCAGTTTTAAATGATACCTACTGCTATTAAGAATAATTGATTTACATCTAAATAAGGCAGTGCTCACCTTAACTCCATAAGCCATCTCGTATCCACCTTTACTTTGCATTTGATTCTGTATGGAGTGCAGCAGTGATGACGGCATGTCCACATCTGTTGAACCTGTAATGAGAGAAAGGTCTTGTTTAGTAAACAGAAACTGACGTAGGAAACAATAAGTATATACTTTATTACGATAGACATAACAAAGATAGATGACGCATGGATCATTAGATATAATATTAAAACTGTGTCATGATGTCACTATTAAACTACTTGCTTTGATGTTTACGAAAAGGAACTATCTAAGAGTTTGCCACTTTTATGGTATAAATCAGGCTCATGTCAATGTCAATTCAAATAAAGAATGTATGTACTGTACAACATTTTTTTTTTTATTTTAAGGTGGCAAACACGCATACAGCCCGTTTGATGGTAAACAGTCACTGTAGCCTCTGTAGCACTGTAACGTCTGCAACACTAGGTGTGTAACGTACACGTTTTTCGCGTAGTTCTTTAAATTTGAAAATATTGCTCTATATTGTATGGTCTTTTATGATATCTATTAATATTAATATTTTCAACAGAGACACATTATGAAGTTGTATTAAGCTATGAATATTAATTTATATTGTTGTGTTGATTTTTTAAGATGATTGCACAGATTTATATTCCAAAATTCAGTGTGTGCAAGGGCAGTGCCGACTCTAAAATAACATTTATTTTCTCTATGAGTGTTGCCTCTCGATACATTTATTAATAATTATATAATAACTTTAAGTCTTGCGGTGTAAATCCTTTTAAATTGTAATTTTGGTACAAATGACAAATTAATAGGTATGTTTGTTCACAGTTCTCTAATAATTTTATCTCACTAATATAATAAAACTGTAATTAGACGATATGTCTGTAAGTATACTGTAAGTAAATGTATAAGGGGTCTTAATAGGTGCTTTAGAAGTCAAAACGATATTTTTATAATTTTGTCCGTGTGTCTGTATATTTGTTCAGAGATCACGCCAAAATTACTGCACCAAGTTGAATGTGGTTCTCATAACTGTGTTCTTGAAGATCCAACATAAAATCTGATGTATGTATTACCTTGATACGTCAATTAAAAGCGGTCACCTACTTTTAAAGTCCACGTGTACGAAGTTACGGGCAAAAGTTAGTTATATTATAAATAATCACTATCCATTCCACGCATAAAAAGGTCACAGTAATGTCATTGCTGATTTTATAGTCGATACCGAACACTATTCAATATTAGAGCCTTATTAGACACGCTTATCAATAAATAAACAATTTGTTCGAAGGCCAAGAGGAGTGAGAGCAACCGTAATTTTACGATAAGACTGATTTGTAATAGTTTTCTTTGTAATTATGAATCATATATTTTTTAATAATAAACTTACAATACAATACCATATCAGCCGTTAAATTTCCGCTGCTAAACTCCCAATGGGGGGAATTTGCCATACTTGGCAGGTAGTTAGACTTTGGTGGCGCTGTTTTCCATTCCTCGACCATTAGGTTCTTTTAGTCGCTTCTTACTACACCTATGAGAAAGGAGGGGGTAGCCTATTCTATGCACACCACACACCACACGGTCATAATAAAGTTACTTACGAGTCTTTAAACTAAATTAACCCTAATATTATATAGAACTAGCGACCCACTCCCGGCTTGGCACGGGTGCACGTCATATTAGAAACCTCTAAAATTATCAGTGTTCCTCTACTATATTATGCATGTATAATACATATAAACCTTCCTCTTGAATCACTCTGTCTATTAAAAATACCGCATCAAAATCCGTTGCATAGTTTTAATATCTAAGCATACATAGTGACAGATAAACGGGAAGCGACTTTGTTTTATACTATGTAGTGATATGAAGAGGTATCGAGATAGACAACCTGTTCTATATATTTTTATTAGTAGGAGACTTACTACGAAACTCGTCGTCATGGGTGCCTCTGTCCCCACTCCCCATATTTCTCCCGTAGAGCAGCTGAGTTGGTATGGCTGTATTTCGGTTTGAAGGGTGGGATATAAGGTACTATGGCATAACGCCATAGACCTCAGGAATAGCAACACATGAGAGGTACCGTGAGCATCACATGCACTATGTTGTGTTGCTCATGTCTATAGGCGACGGTTACCACTTCCCCTCTGGTGGAAACCCCGTCTATTTGTTTCTAATACTAAGTCGGTATCATAAAAAAATCTATTTTAAATATAAATATTATAGACAAAAGTCGATATAAAATACCAATTGGTCAAATAATCCAAGTTAATGTTAACCTATTTATTAGGCAGTTAACCGATCTTTAATAGTATTTACTTATAATATAGTCAATAATTGTACATTATTATCTTTTATATTAAGTAAAATAAGGTACAATTATTTTTATATTTTTTGAAATAGTAATTTTTGTTGATACAGAATTTAATATCGAAACATCTTTAAATATAAATGTATTAAAGTAATTGTTGCAGATATAAAAGTTGAGGACAATTGTAAACGATGTGACCTTTGCATGGCGTTGCGACTGTGGCGTTGAAAATAGTAACAGCACGTAACTGGCGTCTGCGGCTGTCATTATCGTCAGTTGAATATCGTGTTGATTGATAATTAATTAGGCATTCGTTGTTTAAAACTTAAATACTGATCTAAATTACGATATAATGTAACTATATATGTAATTCTCAATAGTCTTTGAAAATAATGCTAATAATTATTTTTATCGTGTAATACGGAATGAAATTTGTATGAAACACAACGTCATAACAAGGTCAGTGCCTATTCGATTGGTTATTAAAAGAAAAAAAAAATAAGTAATCGCAAATATTTACAAACATACAAATGTTTATATATGATATAAACCATATAGAGCTATTTAAGGAAAAAGTATAGCAGTACACAGGGGATGAAATCAAAAATTTAAAACGAAATTTTGATTTTGATTTTATTATCTATTACTCGAAATTAGAGGCAATTAGAATGTTGTTAATGTTTAGTTCGATTAGATACGAAATCTAGGATTTAAAACAAATTATTGATTGAATGAATGAATGAATAAATGAATTTTTTATTGTACATATTACAGGTAATTACAGGTAGATAGGTAATATGGTGTACAACAAAGTCCACCCGCTGCGGACGTACAATTTCAAGCCATGGCCTTATGTCTAATAAAATATAATTACATAACGACATACAATTTTGATTTCCTTTTACTATGATGAGTCATTACTAAAATATTCTTTAAGATTATAAAAACATATCTCAATAGGCCACTCTTTTAATGTTTTGTCAAATTGTTTATTTTCCAAGCTTTTAATATATATATATATATATATATATATATATATATATATATATATATATATATATATATATATATATATATATATATATATATATATATATATATTATTTATATGAACTCTTTTATTCGTATTGACTAGTCTATTTTGAGGCTTTATTAACAAATTATTGCAATTTTTTTTTTATATACACGCAAAGAAGATTTTTAATTTCAAGGTAAGCATACGGAAATATTGCGACTTGCAAGGAACTCTTCAGTGCGAGTCACGATTTACTTGATACTTGTACACCTATTATATTTTGTCCATATCCATCTTGTTATATTCTTTTTTTTCCTGTTAATATAATAAATGTGAAAGTTTATAAAGATGGATGGATAGATGGAGTTTTCTTTCACGCAAAAACTACTGAATGGATTGGACTAGAATTTGGTACCGAGTAGGTTATATCCTTAGATTACATAATATATCTTAAGTTAGTACGTATTTTATGTACTGATTCACGCAGGTAAAGCTGCGGCATACCGTTAGTAGTATCAATATAAATGAGTATGTTGTGATATGTGAAAACGAAATCAAAACCAATTGGCTCATCATTATAAATTCATCAGGAATGAAATGAAAATTCATCAGAAATTCATAATGACAATGACTTCCATGGGGGACCGTGCTTTAGATAAAACTGCAATCTACCTTTGATATTACATATACAAGGTACTTAAAATCATTAACCCATACAAGTATTTACAAAATAAGAAAGTAAATTGGTTTTCTTCTTTGTTCTTTGGTTTGTTTGGTAGGGAGTTCTGAGTAAGAAACTAGACGATTTATTTTTATAATGAACCATAACTGTTAACAAATTGATAAGTAAAGGCTTCTTTGCCCATATTACGTTCAAAATACTGGTTATATTTATTCAAAACAGAGTCTTTTTTGATAATTTAAAAATAAATAAATGTATTATTATTTTCTCTCTCTTTTCCTCTTCAGGTTTTCATAGAAATCCACATTTACTCCTCTCACCAAAACTACCATTATCAGTTTTTGGTGCTTCTAATTTGCCAGAGTTTTTTACCACACATAAATAATTGTGCAAATGAAATCATAGAGTAGATTTTATATCGTCTCTAACTAAAAATGCAGGCCTACATTTTTATTAAAGGGATTATGAGGCAGCAATTATAATTGTTATGAATTGGGTCGTCGTTTTGTTTGTACCGTCGGAAGCTAGGTCGCCATGTTCGAATGTAATGAACACATGTGGTTACCATATCGTATTGTGGTAATATATTAACAATAATTGTTATTATTCCACTCAATGGAAATACACGAACTGTGTCTGTGGTAATTATAATTTATCGAAGTTAATAACGGTTTAAATTTAACATCCATTTTCATAGTTGGTTTATTTATGAGTCGTTAAAATTTGTTAATGGGTCACTGTACTAAGATTTATGTCAACTATTTATTTTTTAATAATCTGGATATTTTCATAAATTTTTAGTGTAACTTCTTTTGTTGACTTCTCTTTCAACCATTTATATCTCCAGTTTCAGCAAGTCCTCTTTTTTTTTACATACAACTTAGAATGGCAAACAACCTGACGGCCCATCTGATGGAAAGTGGTAACCGTCGCCTATAGATATGAGCAGTACCATGGACATAACAGAGTATACTGCCTCGCCCATGATACCCCCCATGCGTTGCCATTCCTGAGGATTCAGGTGTTATTCCTCTATACCCAGTAAATTCACGCCTTATCCCACCCTTCAAACCGAAACACAGCCATG